TGACGACATCAACAATCAAAACCAAGACAACCAAGCACCAACACAAAACTAGCAAATTCTACCGAGTTATCGCTACCTTATATAGGGCATTAATTAAAACATGTTTTTATGTAACTTCCAATTGAACCATCTATCTTTATATCTTTGTGTTTAAAACCTATTTATACATGTCTTTCATTCAATAATTAGAACTTTCATATTGCTTTGCCAGCACTAACAATTATATATTTTCAAAAGTTATGCAAACTTAAAAGAATAAATTAAAACTATGTTCAAATAATACCGAAACATACACCGTCATTTTTCATAATAACACAAATCTACACAACAACAAAACAAAATTACTTAACAATCGAAATTACTTAATTCCTATAAACAATTTAATTTCTCCATCAAATCCAACATAAATTAATACAAGCACACAATAAACCATGGCAGTGCTAAAGATTTTAAATATTTTTATGTATCTAAATAAACATGAATACATAAGATATTCTAAATTTACTGATATATCCAAATAAAAATAAATAAATAAATAAATCAACATAAGAGATTAAATATACACATAACTTTTATAAATAAAAACAATATATAGCAAATAATTTTAACAAGTTATTAGGTGTTTTTGGTAAGAAAAATATTATTTTGGGTTTGAGAGATTTAAAAATAAAATTTTGAGTTTTTTAGATAGAAGTTTTTTTATAAGTTTTTTCTATTAATTATCCCAAAAATTTAATCTAAAATTTTAAAAGTACTTTAATATTTTTTTCATAATATTGTATAAAAAAAAATTGATATAAAAATCTTTATAAATATTAACAGTTGAATGCAAATTTTTAGGATTGGTTTGGTATTTTTGTTGTTTCTTGTATTTTGTTTTTATTTCAAAATATTTAAAATAATTTTGAAAAACAACTATATAAGAACTAGCAATTCGAGAAATTAAATTAAAAAAAAAAATTAGAATGGTTATTGAAGATTTCGATAACAATTTTTAAAAAATAGAAAACAAAAACAAGTATTGTGTTTTGATGTGCAAGTTTAGCCCTTGGACTTTTTTTTTTAAAAAAAAAACCTTTTCGCAGTGAATAATTTCTGTTAATGTTTTTTTTTCCTTATTCCCCCCACCCCAAGGATGATTTTGATTTTTTTTCGAAAATATATTTTTTTCATATAACTCAAATCTAGAGTCAAGTATTTCTTTCATCTTGTATAGACTACGAAAAAAGCTAATATCCTTATCCCTTATCATTTTCACACTGACAAAAAACTATTAAGACCAGCTCAAAAATCCATTAATTTTCTTTGTAGAAAATGCAATATATATATATATATATGACCAGAATTACTGACCAAAAAGGAGAAATCAAGGTTAGGCATAACTAATTTTTTTTGTTACCTGACAACCAAAGTTATGTGTTGAAGTAAGCAGCATGCTAATAGCTAGAAATTTGATGATTCATAGAAAATAAATTTCTCCGAATTTTGAACCAATTTGTTTGTTACAACCAAAATTACGTGTTGAAGTAAGATCATTTGAAAAAAACAAGAGTATAAATATTTAGAGAAGAAACGGACAGAGCAAATTAAAATACGCGCATATAAACAATAGATCATATAAATCAATTCCCTCCAACTCATGCAACTCTCTACGTCAAATGTAGGAGGCGAGTCAAAATGGAGACAAAAAAGAAACCAAAACACAATCCATTCATCACCATCGTCATGCAGCATTAAATGTTGTAGAAAAAGAAAAGAAACCTACCAAAAAGAACAAAAAAGTTAGGAATGAAAGGAAGCAAATGAAGGGGCACATAGGTAACGTAACGTAAAAACAGAAGGCATAAAAGAAAATTGGCTCAAAACATAAGGGTGAAAAAAAAAAACCAACTTATCTGGCACAAATTTTAAGAAAAAAATAAAAAGGAAAGCAAGTAAAAAATACATTTTAAAACATACTCTAAGGAACTGATGGAGAATCGTGCGTGGGTCACGCATACCACCAAACGAACGATCCAAATGCATGCAAAGAAGCCAAACAATGTAGGTGAGTGATATTTTTCATAATTACTTGAGTCTCTGTGAACAATTTAGGAACAAAAATATCACCATCTATTTTAGTATTTCTTTTGTAATTTTTATGAAAAATAATTATTAAAAGTTCATATGATTTGAAAAACAAACCATTTGAAATGATTATTTTTGTTTTTGTTAATGGCCAAACTAATCAAAATTTTCCTTCACAATTAAAAATAATTAATTTCAGTCAACAACTGTCATTAATCTTTCATATCGTTTTTCAATTTTACGAGATACCTTCTGAGATTGCAAATATTTTTCTTATTCCTTGCATGTCTTAAATAAATAAATAAAATTTATTATGAAAAAAATTTGTTTTTAATAAATTTTCAGCATTGCTCGTTGTCCATCTAAATGTTGTGCGAGGAGTTAAATCAATTAAACTAATAATTAAAAAAAAAACGATACGTCATATGTTTGATAGCTATTGAGTTATTGATTGGATTTTGTTATCCATTACCAATTAATTATGTGTGGAGGTAATAATAATCTCGCAATCAAAATTTTAATTTTCACAAAGAGTGAGAGAGAGAGAGGAGGAGGAGGAAACTGACTCAGCTATCAAAGATATCGATCTACAAAACCGCCAATTAAATGTTATTATATTTTCTGAAAAAGGCTGGAAATTGACTTAACCATCCAACGGGTTGTTTGGATCACATGTTTGGGGGCACCGTACCCCAAAATGCCCTGAGAGAAGTTGAGAACTCGACCATGTGGTCTTGTTAAGACCATGCAATTTAGGTTAATATTGATTGGAAACTGAGATATGCATACATTCAACAATGATACTGACTGAAACCATAAATGATTTATTAGTAGTTCGCTCACATCAAATTATTTGGAAGGACTATTATAATAACTCATTTGAATAATGTTGTTGTTATTTAATTGTTTTATAAAATTTATTTATAAAAAAAAATGACTAGATTTATATGAATTATTCACGAAATCTATTTATTTAATATATGAGATATCAAATAGAGATATCACTTGATTATAGGAGAAAAGAATTATGAGAATTGCATATTTTTTTATTAACAAGTACTCATGTGTGTATATATATATATATATATATATATATATATATATATATATATATATATAAAATGCATGATCACAATCTAATATATATATATAATCAAGGAGGTTGTGATTATATCTTGATCATAGGAGATTTGGTTTTTCATTAATAAGAGATTATGATTATGATTTGGTTATAAAAAATTATAGAAGATTTGATTTTTGATTATAAGAGATTGTGATTATAAAATTTTTTGTTTTAGTGAATATTTGACGATATTAAATAAACTTAAAAATCCATAGTACAGGTTGGAGAGTTCAATTTCTCCCTCAAATCTAAGTAAATTTGCCAATAATAGTTTAAATGAAAGATCACAACATCCAAATTCGTTGATCAATTTTAATTTCTCTAAAACAGCTAAAATTTCACGAATCTCAGGCTAAAAAAAAAATATTATCACAATAACCCATTTTCTTGAAACCCATTTGCCTCTTAATTGTCAAATTTTGTTGGAAGCGGATCGTTTGGTGGGTGGAAATCAAAGAAAAAGGGACCCATTTTCCTGCTAATCGTCAAACTTTGTTGGCAGCAGATCATTAAGGTGGGTGGGTTGCGCAGCAGCCCAAATTAATGCTATGGAGGGAACCAGCCAAGTGTCATGTTTAAGGCCCTGCAATTATAGTCTTCGTTGGACGCTGATCAAATCTTGACCGGTAAATGATATCGACCGACATCGTATATTTTTTTATTATTTAACTCATATATTATCAGAAAAAAATATTATAAATAAAACTGAAACAAAACATGTTTTCACGGAGTATTTTACTGTTTACTCACATTCGTACACATTATTCGTTCACGTTCAATCTGAATCAAATCAATTGAATTTTGGTTTAAAAACTCAAGTTAATTTTTTATTATTCAGTTTATGTATATAATAAATATAATTACTTAAAATGATTTTTGTTTATTTAAAATTTGAATTCAAGATCATTTATTTAGGTAATTAAATTTTTTTTCGTTCAAATTAATTCTCTTGTTATATATATATATATATATATATATATATATACTATTTTTTTATAAATAAAATAAAAAAGAGATTTAAATTAGAGATATTTTGAGAAGAGAAGGGATAATACCAAGTGGAGCTACATTTCGCAACTAATTAACGGCTACCTTCCTAAAATAGAAATGAGAAATGAAGGCAATCATGTAGAATAATATTACTGGGTCTTTATCCTGTTCATTAATAAAATCCTCCTTGATTCTAACAAATGAATATTATATATTTTACCATTATTTGATTTTAAGAAATCAGTATTGTATATAGAATTTTGTGGTTATTTGATTTTAGAAAATTAGTATTGTATATAGAGTTATTTGTAGATGAGGTTTTGAAGCAATACGATCCTAATCTGATGTAGTCAAATAATTTATATATATATGATTTTTACTATTCGATTCTAAATATAATTTGAATTCATTAATCTATTTATTAAATAGATTAAATATAAACTTATTTTGATCCGTTTCGATATTAATCTGATTTAAAATTAAAATACTATTATTTTTAATAAATATTAAAAATTTAAATATAATACTAGATTAAAATTTAAGGTTTATTTATTTTAAATTCCTGATAAGTATATACAACATATCCTTTAACAGTCGACTGTTTTTTAAGAAATTGAGATAAGTTTTTTTGTTATTATTTTTTTTAAACTGGCTTGTTGTTAAGGGCATTCTTTGATAGGCTTTCATCACCCACCAATCATTGCACTAGCTTTTAAAATAATCCATCCTCTTCTTTCCCGTATCTCTATATAATTCCATTCATTTGATCTTTACTGAAATGAACAAGCACACTAAACAAGCCTAACGTTCTAATTTCAAAATGAATACAATGCAGGCTGACAACCTTGTACCTAAAAACTCTTCTTCTTGTGCCATGAATCCTCTAAATCTTGAGGAGTTCAAGAGGCAAGGTTACATGGTCATTGACTTCATTGCAAATTATTATCAAAACATTGAGAAACACCCAGTCTTAAGCCAAGTTGAGCCAGGTTATCTAAAAGAACTCCTTCCAAAATCAGCCCCATTTAGTCCCGAACCAATTGAAACAATCCTCCATGATATCCAAAATCATATCATTCCTGGCATCACACACTGGCAAAGTCCTCATTACTTTGGATATTTCCCTTCGAGTGGTAGCATTGCAGGGTTTCTTGGAGAGATGCTTGGTACTGGCTTTAACGTTGTAGGATTCAATTGGATGGCATCACCAGCTGCAACTGAACTTGAGGGCATTGTAATGGAATGGCTTGGAGAGATGCTTACGCTTCCCAAATCTTTTCTCTTCGCTGGAAATGGTGGGGGAGTTTTACAAGGGACTACTTGCGAAGCCATTTTGTGCACTTTAGTGGCTGCAAGAGACCAAATGCTGAGCCAAGTTGGGAAAGACAACATTGGGAAGCTAGTTGTTTATGGTTCAAACCAAACACACAGTGCTCTCCAAAAAGCAGCACAAGTTGCAGGAATCCTCAAAAAGAATTTTCGAGCTATAGAAACGACTGAATCAACATCATTTGCACTATCCCCAGATTCATTAAGATCGGCTATTTGCTCAGACATAGAAGCTGGGTTAGTTCCCTTGTTTCTATGTGCCACCATTGGGACAACTGCAACCACAGCGGTAGATCCACTCAGACCACTATGCGATGTTGCAAATCGCTATGGCTTATGGGTACACGTTGATGCTGCGTACGCTGGTAGTGCTTGTATATGCCCAGAGTTCCAGCATTTTCTTGATGGCGTAGAGGGTGCACACTCATTCAGTTTGAATGCACATAAATGGTTCTTTACCACTTTGGATTGTTGTTGCCTTTGGTTAAAAGATCCAAAGGCTCTTACAAAGTCTCTCGCAACAAATCCTGAGTTTATTATGAATAACCATGCTAGTAATTCAGAACAAGTGGTGGAATACAAAGACTGGCAAATAGCCCTGAGCAGAAGATTTCGATCCATGAAACTATGGCTTGTGTTAAGAAGTTACGGTGTTGATAACCTCAGAAGCTTCCTAAGAAGCCATGTCAAAATGGCCCAGATTTTTGAAGAACTTGTAGTCAGTGACAAGAGATTTCAGGTTGTGGTTCCTAGAAATTTCGCAATGGTTTGCTTTAGAGCTTTGCCATTGGCAATGGGTAACAAGGTGTACGAAAATGGCATGGGCAACAAGGTGTACGAAAATGGCAACAAGGTGTATGAAAATGGCATGGGCAACAATGTGTATGAAAATGGCATGGCTCAGAAAATCACAGATGATCAGCACGATCAGGAACGCAGTAATCAGCTTAACCAGGAGCTTTTAAAGTCAATTAATGCCTCAGGCCATGTGTATATGACCCACGCTGTTGTTGGTGGACTCTACATTATAAGATTCGCTGTGGGGGCAACCCTTACAGAGGATCGGCATGTGTTCACGGCTTGGAAGGTGGTGCAAGAGCATTTAGATGCCATAATTGGCATCTAAATAAGTTCCATCCGAAAAAAAAAAAAAAAAATTTCCTTCTAAGATCATTCCCCTGTCATGTGCCCTTAACCATTGTTATCACATGTTACTCTTGATTTCGAAAAATAATTAATATCCATCAATAAACAAACATTTACTAGAATTTAGTGTGTGAACTTTCTAAAACGCAACTATCATCCATTCCTATAAATGCATTTTATTTGGTAACAAAAAAAATTGGTAGTATTTACCTACTCTGCTAACTAGTATAGTTTCAACCAATGTTATTAGAATTGAATCGGACAAATCAATTCAAGTCGAGAATTGATGAATCCGGCGTCCAGCTTATCCGGTTGCCACACGATATCGTTTGTACAATTGAATCGGATTAACCGGAATGACTCGAGAGCTTTTTTTCACTGATGACCCGTGTAAACCAAACTGTACATGATGGGTTGAAAATTAAGATGACCGTTTATGATTTTGAGACTCCGTTAGTTTGACAAAAAAAAAACAAAAACTTTTATGGGAAAATTAATTCTAAAAAATTTATTTATCAAGAAATTATTATTATTTTTAAATATTTTCTAACGTTTGGCAATTACATGAAAAAATTATTGAAAAATATATTCGAGTGCTTATTTGATGTAGAAAACTAAAATAAAAAATAGTTTTTTTTTTTGAAATTAAACTGATAATTTAGTCTAAAAAATAATTTAACAAATTATTAGTTTTTATTTGTAGATAATTATTCATTTGATTTCAAAAGATCAATGTTGAAATAATTTGCAACTAATTATTAACTACAATTACCAACAAAATTTTACAACCATTTAAAATTAGTTACAAATTATTGATTTAGTTACAAATGAATACTCGTTGAAAAAATAATATATTTATTAATGAATTAATTAGTTTTAAATTTTTCACAAATGATTGCGAGTCTTGTAATAATCGTTTTCAATTAATTAAGTATAATTTAGGTAGTGTTTGGGATAATGGAAAAACAAAATAGAGATAAATTATTAAAATATTTATTATAAAAATATTTTTAAGATGTAAAAATGATTTTTTAAGAATATTTAATGTATTTATAAATAAAAAAATCAAATGTTAGTAGAAATAGAGAAAAAATAATTAAATAATTAATAATAATTGATAAGAAATAATTAAAAATTAATTTGATATATTTTAAATAAAAAGGAGATAGAGAAAAAAAATTATTAAAATATATATTGAGAAAGGTGAGTAACGTAAAAGCGAAACAACTCGCGAGAGAGAAGGAAAATATTTTTTTCTTTTTTAACTCAAAAAACATTTTTCAAAAATACTATATCATTTTTCATTAATTGAAAATCATTTTTCGTTGACTTTTTTCCTAAACATAAAACAAACATCGAAAAATAAAAAATAATGAAAAAAACAAGTTCTAACTTTTTTTCTCCAAACAAACGCAGCATGCAACAATTTAACTTCAAACAGAACCTAGCGTAAGACGATTTAACTTCAATCAGAACCTCAAACCTAATTTTTGCTTCACCAACTGATGAAAAGAGAACACACCTATACATGACCTACCCTTCAATTTTTCTACTCCAGCCGCAGCCTAATTCTTCCACCGAATCACAATCGAAAACTGCCACAAAACTGCCAGCTTTTCAAGTACTTAATTGACTAAAGAAATTTTCTGGAAGGTTATATTCTTCTTGTTGCCGAGGTAGCATTGTATTGATAATATCCAAGCTTTTTTTTTTTTTTTTTTTTTTTTTTCATCTATGAACTTAGTAATACTAAATCATGAATTGGGTATGGAGTATAGACTATGGGGTTTGATTTTTTTTTTTTTAAAAAAAAAAACCACAAAATCGTAAGCTTGCCATTAATTGCTTAACTCTTGCATTTCATTGTCATTTATGATGATTACTTTCGCATGCTGATTTTGTAAGTGGAAGTTTTCTATGTAAATAAAAAATAGAAAAAAGAACAACTCATGGGTGACCAATCATCCAGCATGATGAGTGACAAGTCATCCACTTCAGAGGAAAACAAGATTAAAAAAACATGTGGCCGCTGGAAAAGGAAGCGCACAAACACAATACAACGCATCGGTTTTTTTTTTAAAAAAATTAAATAAATTGAAAAAAAACACAAAAAAATTAAATTATATATATATATATATACACACACACAAAGAAGACTAATTGGTTACACAAAGAAGACTAATTGGTTTCCAAAAATTTGAAAAGTAGTTGAAACCGTAAATGATGCCAAATGAATGGCTCCTTAGAAAATTAAGGTTTGGTTACATTCACACAGTAAGAGTTATCTTTAACTCATATTGAGTTCACGTAATATTAAATTCACTTTTAAATATTCTTAATTAGGAAACTATAATCATTCCAATACCATATTTAAAATAATTAAAAAATCAAAATAAATTTTAAAATTTTTAATATTTAATTTTTAAAACGAATAAAAATAATGATTAGAAAAATAATCTAATCAACTATAAGAATAATAAAAATAATTACCATTATGATTTTAAAAGATAAGATAATTGTGATAGTAATAATAAACTAGTACATATATATAGTGATGGCACCGTAGAAGTAGAAGACGATAGTGAAAAAAAATGATGGTAATTATGGTGTTGGTGGAGAAGTGACAACAGAATTATAATTATAGTAATAATAATTAAAAAATATATATCACAACTGCTAATGATGGTGGTGGTGGTGGTGTTAGAGGTAGGATGGTAATAGTAATTAATACATAATAAATAAAAATAATATATTATTATTTTTTTAAAAATCTTATTTTTATTTATTGTTTTTATTTCATTCTATTATTAATTTTTATTTTCATTCTTATTTTATTTTTTTAACTAAACACCTAGAAAATGAAAATAAATTTTATTCCTTATTACCAAACACCATTTTAAAAAGTTTTATAGCTGCCTTAATTAAATGGGCTGATAAACGAGTAAAGTATCATTAATAGCACATAAGGTCTCCCGTGTAGGGAAGTTCATGCTTTATTAATAAATAGATATCAACCCTAATATGCATGCTTCTTCATCTTCTCATCTTAATTTAGGCTTGAGCAATTTTCAATGGAGAAGCAAAAATGCGGTTGAGCGTAGCAGCTAACCGAATGCCCCCTTGGGCAAGCCTCTTTTCCACAACAGGTAGCCGAGAAAGGAAGTAATCATCTGCAGTAGAACAGACCAATTAGCAGCACAGAACCATACGGAACAGATTATATATGTTCATGAAAACAGCACATCAGTGATGGACCTTGCATGCTGTCCTAAGTCGCTTCCTACTCTGATCTACTTCTGTCAACTCTACTAAAAAAAGGGTAAATTATTCTTTATTCTCAGGGGTTTGAATGTAATTTAAAATTGAGTCGACCTTCATCTTCGAAAGCCTTTAACCTACTAATTTGACTCTTGAAGACCATTATCTTCTTAAGACAACTACTGGTTTTTCTTACTCCCAAATATACAATTTGACAACTTAATTTCTTAGAGAAAAATCAATATGTATATGAAGGATTAAGCTATAACTGCATTCAAAATCCAGGACTAAAGAATGAACTCTTTAAAAAACACCAATTGTTTAGATCAGGAAAATATATACCTTCAAGAGTGCTTCCTTGCGTGGCATTCCTGTATGCAAACTTACAGGCCAAACTAACGCTTTCAGAAGCATAGCTGCACATGCAATTCGAAGAAAAAAGATCAAGTAATTGGTCACCAACCCCTTACAACATATCCATGAAGTTAATTTTTTTACTGTGTGCAATGAAATATCCATGTACTTACGGGTTTGGACAGGCTGTGTGGTTGTATGCACATGATTCCCATGATGGTAGCTCATTGGACCAATTTTCCTATTATTAACCATGAAATAAAGCCATGAAAAGAAGTTTCTCCCTCAAGAAAAAAGCTTCACATTAGCAACCAGAAAATGAGCGGTTGGAAAAGCAAGCATACCGTTATATTATTCTGAATCGACTGTATCATGGTTGCAAGATTTGAACCATAGAATGTCTTCAAGGCTAATTCAATAATCATGTCGTCCCACACCTGAGAGAGAATAACACTATTGATAGATATTGGTGGTGATATGTATACTTATATATCATCGAAGTTGCATAGAACAAAGGTAATAAGTACGCACATGAACAGTCTGAAAACATTTTCTTTGGTTATAATTAAAGGAACCATATATACCATCTCTGTGTGCTTCTGTGTCTCTGTGAATTAACAGAATACGGGAAGCTTACACGGTGTAGATTTGTGCTCGTATTGTAACAATAGACTTGTATTCTGTTTCCTCCTAAATCTCCAAGAAAACCCATATGCAGGGGCTGTCATCACAAAACAAGTTATTGAAGTCATGGCTATGCACACAAACTATACATGAACATCACTAAGGATTCATACATATAAACCACAACAGGTAAATTATTTACTGATCATAATTTTATAGAAGCACTAGAGAGGAGATAAGAGAGCCTAAAATAAGGTAGTGTCCTCTTAAGTCTTATCTATATCCATCTATACTATATATAAAAGACTGAATCGAGGGCTGAGGTAATTAGTAATAAAACTGAATCTTTTTTTCAAGTGTCCTACCTCAATCTAAGGATTTGGATTCTGAACGTAGCTGGTCACATTCTAAATTTCACCATTAGTTTTGAATTATGTGAAAGAAAGGTGTCTCTTCAAACGCTACCTTTGAATTGCTAAAGATTGTGGGTAAATACCTAGAGGATTAACGCTAGAGAAAGAATTTGAGGTCACTGATATTATACATGCATGCAGACCAATCCAGTTACTATGCTTCTTAAGGCTTTGTACCCTGTGCTCTGTCTTAAAAGTAATGAAGTTTTAGCAACAGTTAACAGGAGCAAACGTGGTGGGCATCCCCAAAAAAATGCGATAAAAACATAAGTGCCTCAGTCGAATTATCTGCAGCCAACAATATTAATTAGAATCTTCCGCATATTAATTATACTTTGTTAAAGGAAACATATATAGACATATATATAACACTTTGATGTGCTAATTAACTCCAACCAATTATATGAAGATTACTTACAGTTGGACTCTGAACTGGAATTCTGATATGCTGATGAAAGTTGATACGTATAGTTATATATAGCTCCAGTGACGCATCTGTCTTGACTCCCAGCAGAGTCATGACAATCCCCTGAAAAGAAATGGTAAATTCATTCATGCAAGTTGTAACTCAATGAAGAAGCTACCTTTTTTTTTTTTTTTATGAACTCGAAGATTATATTATAGGCATAAACCAGCAGGACGCTACTATATATATATAAAAAAGAAGAAGTTACAATCAAGCTAAGAAGTCATTAGATCTCTGCATGCTAGACTTAGCTAGAGAATCAGTTAAATGGTTCTTTTCTCTCTGCATATGAGAGAAAGAAACAGATTTTTAAACAGAATATTAGAAATATCATTAAAAATACTCTGAAGTTTCCAGAGTCTGACTTGATGAGCTACAGGAGAAGCAGCAGTGATTTACATAATAGCGCAACTGCATGCAAACAATATACATCTAGCTAAAGAACGAAAGGGACAGACAGACTAAGCCAAACTTACTACAATATTCATAGTTACACTTGAGATCTGGTGTATCAGCAAAGTGTAAAGCACTACTCCAGCGATACTGGGATAAGGATTTGATCTCATCAGGCCATGAACAAACGTTTGCAAGATCACCTTCAGCAGACTCTGGAAGCAATTCCTTCACTGCAGCTAGAGCTTCTGCAGTTAGATACCCCTACAAAACACAAAAAAGGTGCCTCATCAGATCATAGGATTAATAATAGCCCAATTTTCAAACTCATCTTGTCATTATTTCTTATCTTCGCCTACATTGTACATGTATACATCTTTACTGCGTATCGAACTTGTCTGTCTTTCGGGACACGAATGCTGATAATCTGAATGGAAGATTAATTACGAACGACTCTCGCTAAAACAGTTGTACCAGAAATATTTCTAGTGTATCATAACCCAGATTTTAGTTGACTTGCACCTCAGTTAATGCTAGCATTCTAAGACTTGTCGAGTAAATTAGGAGAACACTGACTACAAAACAGGAGACAGTTACACTAAAGGGCTACTTCAACAGGTCAAGAAAGAACCACACAGAAATCCAATGCCATAAAAGAAAGACAGCAAATCTCACCTCTGCAATTTTGCCCGTAGCATAGTGACCTTCCTCGCCCCAACCAAGAATTCCAGAAACCAATTGAAGAAGAACAAGCACCCTCACACTCCACAACACCCCAGACACACCCATTGCCATTTAGTCAATAGAAGGATCAGTTTCAACTTATCAACTAATCCCTTCGTTGGTTTTTAAAATGCAAGAAAGAGAGAAAACAAAAGAACAGCAAAGTGAGCACATTTTTCAAGCTACAAAAGACAGCTTCAGTGATGGGGCCCGTTGGCAGCACCCCCAAGAGGTGTTTATAACACGTTCTTACAATAATTCCAATGCTCCAGCATTGACTTGACACATAACCCATCATGAAAATCTGAGTTGGAAAGGGTGGTTGATAAGAGTATTTTAATAACTTTTTATCTACTAGCAGATCTGAAAGGGATTCATCATATCAGATATCCTTTTGTCACGTGTAAAAAGCCAGAAAAAAATATATTTCATTTTCTCTCTCTTCATTAACCCTGCATCAAAACCCAATTCTACATAATTTGGCAGCATTAAAATAGCAATTGTTTATTTTTGAGTCTGAACCGTTGTGGACTAACAATGGTTGCAACGTTCTTATATGGCAAAGAGAAAGGTTTGATTGATTATTATATATTAGAAGTGTATAATAATATGAACATGGGAACAAAGGATTTCAATGAACTATATGGCAGCAGTTGCTCAATGGGTTTGTCTCTGTCTCGTAACATTGAATATCCCTCTGCATCTATTGGTTTTGGTGGCATTAGAAAGGTTAAAGTCAATCAAGTTAGAGAGTAAGCAAATGACATTTCTTCACCAGTGAGGCAGTGCTATACGCCTATACTAGAGTAGATGGCAATATAATTTCAATCCATTTAACAAGAAGGTGTTAAGACGTGGAGAGTAATGTAAATAAGAATTCATAATATAAATAGCTATGCAGATTCAGTTTAACGGTCTTGTTAGTCGGTTAACGAACATAAATTAAAAATCTATATAATATTAAATTATATATAAGCTCGTTAAATTTTTTTTTTTTATAATTCTAGTTCATCGAACTATAAATAAAGACAACATTACTTATATTTATAATCGATATTTGATAAAACCTAATAAAAAAATTCTAGTATAACTATGAAGTAGACATTATTTATATGCATATGTAGTTTTTGGAAAGAAACATGCAGACAAGAGATCAAACGAGATCCCCAGCAATCTTTCCATGATGCTACATCATCAACCACGTTCCCTGCGTAACATGGCAGCATACAGAACTAGATTTCCTTTGCTCATGTATAACAGTTAATTGAAGAGAACCGATTGTTTTACAGAGTAAATTATAAATTAGTCCTTTTACTTTCAAGAAATTAATGAATTAATTTTTTTTTCAAAAACTAATAATTTATTTAGTTCTTCGTTGATAAGGTTTTGTCAAATCCATCAAATTGATGCCTAATATCTAAAATATCATTTAATATATGTTTTCATGAGATATGTTTTGGTGCTTGAAGATAGAGAAAAAATATAGAAATTATTAAAATGAGAAGTGAAGATTTGAGGGAAGAAATGGAAATTTGTTTTAGTGCTTGAGGAGAGAAAAATAGAGAAGATGTGTGTGAAAGAAAGAAATAATGCATAAATAAAAAAATAAAAAATAAAAAATACTACAATAAAGACACTCTATCACCACTCTAATTGAAACGTAGAGGATTAGATGATTAATTTTTAAAACAATGAGGATTAATTATTTTTTTTCGAAACAAGAAGGACTAATTTATAATTTACTCTAGTTTTGTATATACACAAAGATGGAGAGAAATCAGGAAATAATAATAATAATAATAATAATTTACAAGTTACAGGTTACTGGCTAACATTATAAGTAGCATATGCTTACTTGGATAATAACAAAATGTACAGGTTTTGTTTCTCCCTCCCAGGCAGTAAAAAATTCTTCGAAAGAAGAGCGATGCATGGGTTTCCAATCCAGCAGCTTGCTGCTTTTTTCACCCCGAATTGCTTCCAGAATTGGAAGGACATCGCAGCGCAAGCCATAGATATGACCATTCTAAATCCCTCTTATTTCCTTGCTGATTTTAAAGAAACATGAAGAGATTTAAAATGGGCATATGCCTTGTTGCGACCTTTAAAGCGGCCTCAACGGATGGAAAAAAATAAAATCTGCATGCATATATAGTCAAAAACCCATGCGTTGCGTCCAGAACTGGCCTCAATCGTATAATAATATGGGTTCGTTCTGAATATGTATGAAGATTCTTAGTATTATTTTATCAAGCAACTCAGAAGGAGAAACTTTTTTGTTCACAGATGATTAAATTAGATTCAAATTTAATTAAATTAGTAACTGATTGATTAATAGTTGCATGTTAGAACAAACTTTAATTATTTCTCATAAAAAAAAAAAAACTTTAATTATTAAGGCATGCAGCCTCAAACACATTCAAATTTCCATCGAGAAAATATGAACAAAAAATTATGATATATATATAAACCAAGCTCATCGAAATAAAAGCTGCACGCTCTCAAACGTTAGGGGAAAAAAAGAAAAAAAGAAGCAAGCATTCTATCAGAAAACTTACAAAGTTTGTTTAGAAGAAAACCTTAACTTTCACAAATCTGTTTAATATATATACGAGATATTCAAAAAAACCTATTTGCAGAAAAGGAAATACTAATACCAGTTAAACTACGATTCATGGTCTTGTTAAATGAGAAGAAAACAAAGTTATATACTGGAATTAAACCCAGCCAAACCAAAGGACACTTTGTTCGGTAAGAAAACAAAGTTATACTATGAATGCATAAAACATTTACACCGAAGGACACGCCTAGTGATTATGTATCCGGTAGCTTGTTTTAGCGAAGCATGTTCGAGTTTTAATAACTCTATTTTATTTTATTTGGTTATTACGTAATGAGAAAGGACTGTCTCTTATTATGTAGTCCAAAGTCATACAAAACAAAGCAAGATTTTGTTTTTGGCCTTGGAAAAAGAAAAGAAAAGAGGGAATCTGAGAAGAGAATATCAGTTTTTTATTTCTTTATGACGAATAACTAAATGATAGGAAATTTATACAGCAAAGTTAAACTATATCAGTTTAACAACCTCCTAAAGACCTCCTTCATTTAACAACCTTCTAATTAAGACCAGGATCATACATATGACACTTGCAGAGGTATAAGTTACGGAAACAATAACGCTAAGAGTAAAAGTTTCCAAATTGTCGTGCTCGTTAGTTGCTTTGTTATGTTGGTGACGCTAACCCTTCTTCAGTATCCCCAAAAATCTGATTCAAGAACATGGCTAAGCGAACTCCGCCTTGAGCAATACGTTTCATGACAATTGGCATCCTTGAATCGAAGTAATCATCTATGATCACGCAACATATTGAATTGTTAATCTTCAAGCATCCTTTTCAATCTGAATAATCTTATCAGATTGACATTAATTAAAAAAAACATAATGCAGTCTTCAGGTCGCAAATACCTGTTAGAGTTGCACCTTCCTTGACGCCTTTGTAACCCCATTTGCAAGCTATGTTTATGCTCTCTTTGGCATACCTACACATGTGATAGGCAAGCATGATTAACAAATCTGAAGTAGGTAACTTAATGAGACATTGTTAAAATCAAGTCCCAATTATTTACATGTTGTGTTTTGGAAGAAACATGTAGCTAGACAATAGAATTAGAGAACTAACTTGTCTGGACATGAAAGGATATCACCACAATCTTTCCATGAGGCTACGTCATCAAACCATATTCCCTGTGTAACATGGCAGAAATTAGTACACGACCAGATTTCCTTTGTACATATATATAACAGTTAGTTGAAGAGAACCAAATGTTTTATATATACATGAAGATGGAGGGAAGCTAACTGGTCTTACATCAGTGAAGTTCCCCTCTATGTCTTTTTGCCAGAGATCCATGTCCTTGTCATAGAAATCTTTTAGAGCTGTAAGAATTATCTCCCTATCCCATACCTAGATGGAGAAAATGCAACCTTCAGTCATAAAATGAAGGGAAAAAAGGACACTGGCCCCGCAATGTTATTTGTACAGGCATACTGCCACAGCAAATATTTATCAAAAGCTGAGGCAACAAGGTTGATCATTGATGGTACTCACATGGTGAAGATTAGATTTGTGTCTATACCAGCGTAAATCAATGGTGTTTCCTCCTTCATCGCTAGTGAATCCAACATGCATTGGCTGTAAAAAAGAGAAGATAAAACTCGTTGAATCCTGATCATAAAGATGGAAAAGGAGAGAGAAACTAGAACTGTCCATACATATGTTTACCTGATGAATATCTCCCATGAAATGGGACAAGAATAGCAAGGCTTCTGTCAAATTATCTGCAAAAATAATCAAACCCTGTGAATCTCAGGACTCAAAACAGTAAAATCACAATCCTGAAATGTGGAATTCCTTACATCGACGATCTGCAGTGCCCTCCCTGTAGTGCAAGAGCTGAGATGTAAAATTTTGGATGGCACCATCAACACAAGCATCTTTCACACAATCCCCTAACACAAAGTAACAAACTAGTCACGTTGGTACACTGATGACAGAAAATAATAGTGATTGACGTAATTATGAGGTGGAAAGCTAACTTGAATAATCAAATGTGCAGGCTTTGTCTGGTGTGTCAATGAAGTGAAGTGGGCTAGTCCACCTGTATCTATACCAATGCCGGATTTGGTCAGGCCATGTGCAGAGAGCCGATAAGTCACCATTGAGATCGTGAGGTAACAAGTTTTCTACAGCATGTGCTGCCTCGGGCCCTAAAAGATTCTGCTAATTGAAAGGAGACTGTTAGTCATGAAAATTCAACTGTAAGTTTTGCTTATCCATAAAATAACAATTTTGGATTTTTCATATTTTGATGCATCTTTCTTAAACTGGTATCGTGTGAACTGAAAAACATTTGTCAAGACATTTCTTAAACAGGTAACAATTTGTCATTTGGTTTTAATACAAGCAAGAAAGGCTATAGTTGTGTCACCGACCAACACAACTTAAGACTTGTGAAGTCAACTAATAAATGGGGAAGCAAATTTCAGGACTACAATCATAACTTCATGGGTTTGATTATTGAGCGAGCTAGCACTATATTTTAGCTTCAGATGCGCAACTCCCATAAGCCGGCCAACATCCGGTCAAGTCACCAGGATTCCAGGCCACAGACCTGAGTTGATTCTATTTCTATCAGGATTTTAAGGATTCAGGGGATGGGAGAGGACCATAATCACAGTTGATAACTATAAATTAGAAAATGGTTTGACTTTTGAAAACAGACACGGGAAAGGGTAGAGCCGCCACTGTGAAACGATTTTGTAAAAGAATAAATTCGTTTCATTAGTTATTTTTGCCTTGGACCTCTTATCGTGATGAATATTGACCTGTCATGATGATATATCTTCCTTGATTTTTGATAAAAACATTTAAGTAAACATTAGTCCATGTGGACCTATTTCCTAGAAGAATGGATGTGATTTTTACCTGCGCAATCCGACAAGTCATTATATGACCCTCCTTGCTCCATCCCCGAGCTCTTGGCAATGAAATGGAAGCTAAACCTACGAACAAAACAAATGCAAGTGCAGACAATTTCAACAAACCTCTAATCCTATCCATATTGTTTTCTCTGCTAGAATTGCCTAATGTTTTTTTTCCTACAATATCAAAACGAAATGAGCCTCTACAATGAGTTAGGTACATATATAAAAAGCTTAGAAAAGGTTCGTCGCATTTACATAATAAAGAAACAAACGGTTCTTATCGAGTACAAGTATTAAATTCCACTCTTGAGTACCCTTAAAGTTGACATTTGCCATGTGCAAGAATAGCATATTCGGGAATATCTAAGGCAATGAAACCACATAACAGGAATGAGGTGGAGAGTTTAGAAAGGATAGTTTAGAGCTTGCCTAACATGACAAATGACTAAAGTAATGCGTATAGGGAAGTTCATGCTATATACAAATTGGTGCAGTGGTCCCTGCTCTGTCATCAACTGAAGATGCTTCTTTATCTCTTTATCTTCATGCCTGAGCAATTTCAATTTGAGAAGCAAAAATGCGGTTGAGAGTGGCAGCTAACCGAATGCCAGCTTGGGCTAGCCTCTTTTCCACGACAGGCAGCCGAGAAAGAAAGTAATCATCTGCAGCACAACAGATGAGGAGATTACGTTCATGTTAGCAGTGAGAAAACAAATATCTGTTAGATTACTTGCAGAATTGAGATAGTGAGAAAACAAATATCTGTTAGATTACTTGCAGAATTGAGATAGCTACAATCAACATACATAACATGCTGGGTCATGTGTATGGTCAAACACATGAGAAGGAGGGCCCAATGTCTATAAGATATTGTGTTGACTACAGGAGACAATGGCATTGTCCAATCAAATGTTGGAAGGTTCCAATTTTCTAGCTTCGTCTTTTGATAGAAGGGCTGGGCAGAGAGAGATAGTAATTGGAGAGATAAAAGCAAAACAGAACAAGAAATGCAATTATATAGTCTTTTCAAGGGTAGTTGTCATTCATGTAAAAGATAACAAAAATGGCATCTTTCCCTTAGCTTAAAATGAAACAAATCACTATCAACAACCTATGGAGAAGACTTTGCAACAGTAAGAAGCAGACAAGACTCATGAGGTATCACCTTCACTCGAGTCACATCTTAATCATATACAAGGCTTCCCCAACCACCCATTTTTAACTCTTTTTAATAAAGAAGTATGTTGGCACCCGCCATTTCAATTATTTCCTGTGAAAAAATTTCAGCTTAATTATGCTGTTAGATTTACTGGTCTTGACTTTTACATCAGGTTACAACTCTGTGAATTTAGGTCAAATGTTGACCAGATGAAAAACAGCACATCAGCAGTAGACCATGCTGTGCTAAGCAGCTTCATATTCTGAGCTACTTTGTTTTTCTTTTTGAAACAAACTCTGATCTAGTTTCTGTAACAAAAATCTAAAAATATCAATTGTTTGATTGAAGAAAATACCTTCCAGAGTGCTTCCAGGCGTAGCATTCCTGTATGCAAACTTGCATGCCAAACTAACGCTTTCAGAAGCATAGCTGCACAGTTTGAAGAGAAAAAATCAAGTCATTAGTTACCTACTCCTTATAACAGATGCATGAAGTTAACTTCTTTCCTGTATGCAACGAAAAAATTGCATCTCAAGCAACCAAGTATAACTCTATCTGTGAGAATTGACATGCATTGTGTTTCAGAAGTTACAAATGAGTATAGCTTTCACCATTATGACATAGCCCTTTCTATGTATGGTTGACTGCACTATTACATGCCTGGCCACAATTGAATATTCTTACCATCATATATGACAAAATTACACAGATGAAGCATGCAAGGAACAGGTAAGGCATGTACTTACGGGTTTGGACAGACTGTTTGGTTGCGTCCACAATGCTCCCATAACGGTTCTTGATTGGACCAATTTTCCTATTAACCATGAAATAAAGCAATAAAAAAAAAAAGGCTTCTCGCTCAGGAAAAAAAAATGGCTAACAAAAAGGAAAAGCAAAACTTAGGAGCATGCAGGCACACCCAAAACAAAAAAAATGTGAAGCAATGAATTCATATCCCAAAGTAAGCTTCATAAGTATTTAGTTTATCGTTTCAAGTGATTTATATAGAACAATTCAGAACAATAAAGGAAGAAGATATATCTTCCTGTAATGTCCTTCAACATTAGTTATGCTCATGTACCATATGCTATTTTCACATTAGCAACCGAAGAAACTGGGTAGAAGGAAAAAATTACCGTTATGTTATTTTGAATGGCCTGTATCATGGTTGCAAGATCTGAACTGTAGAATGTCTTCAAGGCTGATTCAATAATCATGGTGTCCCATACCTGAGAGAGAGAATAACAATATTGAAACTGATAGACGAGACTGTAAGTCTGTAACACTAATGATACCCCAAAACACAGAGGAAAGAGGAAAGAGCATCTGTTGTTCCAGAAACATAAAAATGCCGACGATTATTTGGCAAACCATTCTGACCCACAGTTAGGTCTAGAGCACAAAATGGGCATAAAAGAACGTCATGTTAAAGTAATTTGATGGTCATTTAAAGTTCACGGAGCTTTTTTATTGAGATCAAGAGAATCAGTTGCCTTGACTGTATTGCTAGATGTTGCTCACGTATACCTATCATCCAAGTTGGATCCTTTCACATTCTTGAGAACATGGATGGATCATGTTTGTAAAATCCAAATATTTGAATTCAAATCAATGGTTTAGATTTGAATTTATACATGAATGGTGGGTAGTTTTCAAATATATAATTAGGAAACTATTTGAATTTCAAATACAATCTAACCATTGATTTGAATTTGAAGGTAAGATTTTACAAATATGATCCACCATGCTCTAAAAAACATGAGAGGATGCAACTGCACTTTATACACATGAACTGTCCCAAAACATTCTCTTTGGTTATAAGAGGGGAACCATCCTTTTTTCGTGTAGATTAACAGACGATGGAAAGCTTACATGGTGTAGATTTGACTTCCTACGGTACCAACGGACTTGTATTGTGTTTCCTCCCAAATCTCCAAGGAAACCTACATGCAGGGGCTGTCACAAAACATTTATGACATCAGGTCAGTAGACAGGTGAATCAAGTTAAGTGGTTCTGCAGACAATAGATGAGCATCACTAAACATCATCGCATATACACCATAAGTATTTACTAATAATGTAGAAGCACTACAGAGAAGTAGAAACCCAACTAAGGGCATTGTCCAGTTATGTTACAGAAAAAAAAAAAGCCTTCAAAGACAAATCCTTATGGTTGAGCAATGGCTAGTTTCTTTAGTATTGCGTGTCTAAAGAAGTGATTCTACAGAAAGAATTTGAGATATCTAGTTATATATGCAGACCACTCTACTTAAGATTTTGCACCCTATGTGCTGTCTTAAAATTGTGAAGTCTTAGCAATGAGCAACAGGAGCAGACCTGGTGGACATCCCCAATAAAGTGTGATAAAAACATAAGTGCCTCCGTCAAATTGTCTGCAGCCAACATTGGAATAGTCCACATATTATACTTTGTAAAACAAAATATCATGACATAGCACTTGCATGTGCCAAATTCAATGATGTAATGCTTGCTTACAGTCCGAAAATGAGTTGGAATTCGGATATGCTGATGAAAGTTGGTATGTGTAGTTATAAATTGCTCCAGTGACACATCTATCCTTACGCCCAGCAGAGTCATGACAATCCCCTAAAAGAAAGCTGGAGAAAATTAAGCGGGCTAATATTTATCTCTATACCCCAGTGAAAGGGTAGGTTCATGCATGTAACTTGATGAAAATGCTATCCTTGAATTTACATAATAGTGCAAACAATATCTATCTGAACCAAAGAACAGAAGGGGCAAGCCAAACTTACTACAATATTCATAGTTACACCTGAAATCTGGTGTATCAACATAGTGTAAAGCACTACTCCAGTGATAGTGGAATCGGATCTCATCAGGCCAAGAACAAACATTTGCGAGATCACCTTGAGCAGACTCTGGAAGCAATTCCTTTACTGCAGCAAGAGCTCCTGCAGTTAGATACCCCTAAAGATAAAAAAATGCCTCATCAGATAGGATTAACAATTGCTTCTGGACACTTTAACAACCTAAATTTGAAACTCATCATGTCGTTATCTTCATATGATCAACATAGATGTCTCCCCAATCTCACAAAATCTTAAGCACTAGCATTGTACATACATCTATTTCAGTATTTGTGGTCCCACATTATGCGACCAGCAAATGCTGAAATCTGAAATTTGAATGGAAGATGTATCCGCGACTCTAGGTATAATAATAATGCTGGAGATTTTTCCATAATCACAAAACTCAAGAGTTCAGTTGAATTGCATCTCAGTTAATGTGGTCCAGGACTTGTGGACTGGGAAAAAAAAAAAAAAAAAGTGACTGTCAAACAGGAGTTTGCAATTAAGGGCTACTTCAAAAGCCAAGAAGAACCTGGAAATTTGATCGAAGCAAACCAACAAACAGTAAAACAAATCATTTCCATTTTCTCACAACCACAATCAGTCAATCACCCACATCCAAAATGATAAAACAATAAATTCAACCACTAACAACCACCAGACTAAGGAAAGCTACATATCTAGCAAGCTATATTAAGTGATTGCTACAAAGATAAAATTTTGAACACTGTGAGCCAAGTAAGAAATTGTCCACGTAATGCATCAAAACTAAAAAAGAAAGAGATCAGATCTCACCTCTGCAATTTTGCAAATAACATAGTGACCTTCCTTTCCCCAACCAAGAATTCCAGTGACCAATTGAAGAAGAACAAGCACCCTCACAGTCCACAACAGCCCAGACACACCCATTTCTGTTCAGTCAATAAAGGGTCAGTTTCGCTTTCAACTAAACCCTTTGTTTGGTTTCTGAGAAAATGTAAGAAAAAAACAAAAGAACAAAAAAGGGACAACAGTTCAAGGTAAAAGTATCAGCTTTAGTGACCACATGGATTAAGTTGCGTAATTGAGAAAGTAAACACTGAAAGTTTCCAACTTTGAGATTAAAGTTCGTTTTCTCTCTCTTTCTTTTTTGGCATTTTCTCGGGAAACAAACAGAAACTGGTTTAAAATAAGATTAAGGAAAACAGGGAGATAAAATGGGACTGTGCTTGTGTAACGAACTTACCTAACTGAGAAGGTAATCAATCTGGGCTGGACTGCATTGTCCTAATTGCTTGAGACAAGGAGGGTGATCTTCGATTAGTAGAGTAAATAAACAATTAGTCCCTATCATTTCAAAGAAAGAATTAACTAGTTCTCTTTTTTTCAAAAATTAATATTTAGTCCTTTATCGTTCAACTCTGGCAGAATCCATCAAATTAATACATAATATTTAAAATATTTTTTTCCATCAAGCTGAAAATAAGGAATTTATATTGTTGACAATTAAGAGTCACAAAATACTTATAATTTCTGCCATTTTCTTATATAGTTTATATTTTGAAGAATTAAATGTCAGAAAAATATAGTATAAAAATGAATTTTTATTTTATTAAAATTACATAGATAGTAGATAGTTGAAAAGAGATAAAGAAAATGGATGAAAAAGTTAAGGATCATGGAAATAACATAGAAGAGAAATGACTGAAAAGGAAAAAAAAAAAAGTGAATGAAAGAGTTAAGAATCACGAAAAGGATATAGAAAATTAAATTTTTACTTTATTATGACAATAAAGATAGTTAAAAAGATAAAATAAAATGGATAAAAAAATTAAATAACCAAAAGATGAACACTTTGGAAAAAAAACAAATACTATAATAAAGATTACTCTATTGGTACACCAACTCTTTACTTTTCATAAGTTGAGTGTACAAGGTTTATAATCTTTTCATTTTGGTACATCAACATTTTCGAACCTAACAATTAAGTACATCAATTGCTCCATTGATGACCTGATTTTGACCACTTCAGTCCAGATCCTGGTGAGAAATTGCACTGTTAGAACAACAATTTTTCACTTCTTTACCAATCGAATACATGGATTTTTTTTTTTTTTTAATGGAACACGTGGCGTCTGACTTCTACAAATTAACTTCGACCTTTGGGGTTTTTTGTAAGGAAAGTTCCCTATAAATCAATACTGTATTAATAAATAAAAAAATATTTATATAATAAAATAAATCTTTTTATTTGGTTAAGCAAAATAAAAATAAAAAAATAAAAATGAAAGGATTGGTTTGTTGTCATTTTATAGTTTTCTTTCTATAATCCCGAAATATATTCAAATCAATTTTTTAAATTATTGACATTGAGTTTATCTTTTTACTCCGATCAAATATAATATCACAATTGCATCTAAGATGCATAAAAGATGTAAAAAAAATAAAATAATAAATGCAATAATAAGGCAATAAAGAAAAAAAGAAGAGAAAATGAATGAGTAATAAAGTAGATTAAAAGTAGCAAGCAATACGTGTGTAGTTTTTCAGTCTATTTAATTGGAGCTGCAATATCATCAAATGAGTTTAGGTTGCTATTTTTTAAGAGCTATTGAGTCTTATAATTTCGCCCATTATTTGAAATAATAGTTGTTATATAATAATATTATGTATAACAATTATCGTTATTTATTATTTATTGCTATAGAAATTTTATAGCTTTTTCACACAAATAGCAATAATGGTAATGCTATATAATTGTAATGGCTGCTATGACAGCTATTTAAAAGATATAAACTGTTATATTTATAGATAAAAAAAATTAAAATTTTGAATTTTTATATTTTATTAGTATATGTGTGATATTAACTATTAAACTTGTTATTTTTTTTAATAAGTTCAATTATCATTGTACGATAAACTAGTAGATATATTATTATGTCTAATTAATAAAATTATTAAAAATATATAAATTAAAATAATTAATTAATATTTGTTAATACATTTATGATATTAGCAACCGTTATTTTCTATTCCAATAAATTGCAATTTATAATTACCATTGCTATTATTTTTACGATCGTATCTACCATTTAAAATTAATTCAACGTGAAAATGAAAAACAATCCATGCCTATTCTATGACTAATTAAATTTAATAAAATAAATCATTATTTATTTATTTATTTTTATCAGGAATATAGTTATGCATTAATCAAGACTAATCCTTGCTCCAGCAAAGTCACTCAGAACCTTCTCTTCTGTTTGTTGAGTGTAAGAAGAAAAAATGAAAGCAGTAGCGATAACTGTACCAGGTGGCCCAGAAGTGCTGCAATTACAAGAAGTTGAAGACCCGCAAATCAAAGAAGATGAAGTCTTGATTAAAGTAGAAGCCACAGCCTTGAATAGGGCCGATACTCTCCAAAGACAAGGCAAGTATCCACCTCCTAAAGGAGCCAGCCCGTATCCTGGTCTTGAATGTTCAGGGACTATTGAAGCTGTTGGAAAAAATGTTTCCCGCTGGAAAATTGGCGATCAGGTAATTCATTTCATGTTCCCTCAAGAACCCAATTCTTAGAAAGTGGTGTTTTTGCATGTTTTATATATATATAAAAGATTGAATTTTGGCTTAAAAGACATGAGCCTTTGATATAGGTATTGTTAATTTCGAGTTTCCTCAAGAACCCAATTCATAGAAAGTAATAATTGTTGCATCTTTCTGAGAGAAGTTTAAATTTTGGCTTCAGGTTTTGATATGAAGCTTTTAAATTCAAAGTTCTCTCAAGAACCCAATTTGTAGAAATTGGTTTTTTTGGACTTTTTTTTAATCAAAGATTGAATTTTGGCTTCCCAGCAGGATTTTATTTTTTAATATAAAGAATTTTACTTGATTGGAAAATGTGTTATGTTATACTACATAGGTTTGTGCTCTTCTTAGTGGAGGAGGTTATGCAGAGAAAGTGGCTGTTCCAGCAGGACAAGTGCTTCCTGTTCCGCAGGGTGTTTCCCTTAAGGATGCAGCCGCTTTGCCTGAAGTAGCATGTACTGTTTGGTCAACTGTTTTCATGATGAGTCATCTGTCTGCTGGGGAAACGTTCCTGGTAAACTTCTGTGTAAATCCAGCTCTACATTTTAATGCATGGTGGTTTGTAAAATGGTGCTGCTCTGAAGAATCCTGCTGTTGAGTATAGTCAGTCGTGCCACTTAAAGCTATAGGTTTGGGACCTAAAATAAATGTGTAATGCAAAACTGCACGTCAGTCACAGCTTCCCCTTTCTATTCTACAAAGTTGAAATTACAAAAATTAAATTACACATTGGAGATTGGTTGAAAAATCATACTGAGAATGTAGGTATGTTCTAACTTTCGCATGCAACTCCATCGATATGTAGCGACTGTACAGTAATTCCTTGGTTAACAAATGTGATAATTTATGATCTAAGATTTGTCAGTCTCTTTATTCGCACAGATCTTTTCTATGTTCAGCTTGTTGTTTGAACTAATGACTTTCAGAATTTCAGGTTCATGGGGGCTCTAGCGGAATTGGTACATTCGCAATTCAGATAGCTAAACATCAAGGGGTTAAAGTGTTCGTGACAGCAGGTTCAGCCTGCGCTTCTCATCCAGCTTCATCGGTTTGCTATGAAATCATGCTATGCTAATTGTCATATATGTTGTTTCTTGATTGTCAGGGAGTGAGGAAAAACTAGTTGTTTGCAAGGATCTTGGAGCTGATGTGTGCATCAATTACAAGACTGAGGACTTTGTGGCACGAGTGAAGGAAGAAACTGGTGGGAAAGGTATGTTCGTTATAATTGCAAATGTAATTGGATTTCCACTTGTAAATCTATCCATAGCACAGCCATCCTTTACATTTTAATTGCATTATATGTTTCTTAACCATAACTCAATCAATAGCTATTAATGGCAGGTGTTGATGTTATTCTGGATAGTATTGGAGCGCCCTACTTTCAGAAAAACGTGGACAGCTTAAATATGGATGGGAGACTTTTTCTCCTTGGCTTCATGGGTGGAGCTGTGACACAAGTAAATCTGGCTTCTTTGTTTGCAAAGCGTGCCACAGTGCAAGGTATTACCAGTGCTCATCATCTTGGGTTTGAGTTCCATAGGCTCGGAGTTGGATGAATCTGGTTTTTGTTGAATGCTCTAGTAGATGAATTTCTCAGAACAAGTTTTAACTCCTTGTAGAAGTTTCTTGATTCTTCTTTTTTTTTCCCCCTTCTAGTAAGGTTAATGACACTTCATGTTCTAGATTCCTCATGTATAGCTACATACTAGATTTCATAATACAAACAAATGTTTGTTCAAATTTTATCACACTGTCTGGTGTACACAAATTGTGTTGTGCTTTTCTATGGTAGTTTTGGCTAACTTGGCTAATATTACTACATTGAAACTGTCAAAAGATTTTTATTTGAAGGAAACATGTTTTATTTTCGAGACGTTTCCTCGCCATGATGCCTTTCCTGTTCGTCTAATAATTCATGGATGATAAAACCAATTTCTAGAAAATTATTCCAAACCCCAAAAAAACTATATTTTGCTAGGTATTATTTTCTTTTGGGTCAATCAACTTTGAGCAGCCCATTTCTCAGTCTGATTAAGTGAGCACATTCAAACATATATATAAAATGTGCTTCCATTTTTAGATATTGCATCATGTCTTTATATTTTTACATGTTCTGTATTTAATGGCCTTGTCCCATCCTGTTCACTCCAATTCATCCCCATTTGCACACCAAACAAAAATTACAAGTAGAGCTCTTCAGTCCAATCCTGTAGTTTCCTATTTATGAACACTCTACCTAATACACTGAAACCCCACTTTTCACTGAAAGAGTGCTGGGGTTAGATAAAATTCTCTCTGAAAGGCTATTTGTAAGAATGTAAACATCTATATAATATCAATGTCCTGTTTTCATGTGTATTGGTTTTCTAAAGATTTATTGTCTTGTATTGATTATGTGACCCTAGTACACCTGTTGTTGGTGATCATTTATGCAGCGGCTGGCTTGCGATCTAGAACTCTGGAAAACAAAGCAGAAATTGTTAGTGAGGTGGAGAAGAATGTTTGGCCTGCAATTGTTGCTGGCAAGGTGAAGCCGGTGGTGTACAAGTATCTTCCATTATCTGAGGCAGCAGAGGGTCACCGGCTCATGGAAAGTAGCCAGCATATTGGGAAGATCATGCTTGTCGCATGATGCTATTGACAGCCATGCAGCAAAAGCAGTGATTTTTGATCTGCAACGACTTCTCTCTATGGTGCTTGTATTGAGAAAATAAATAATAGGAGTCTCTTGGGCCATTGTATTTATGTATGCAGTTTATTAACTTTATTTTTCAGTGGCCGTGACGTAATTCTCTTTGAATTGAATGGAAATCTCACAAATATGCTGTGGGATGATCTAAAGTACCGACCCTTTTCAACTTGATCTTGTTTCAAAGCACCTATCTTGTTACAATTCATTCATGGAGTAATGGTAAAGACTCAATCGACAGAAATCTGGGGCAGAAAGATAAATTTACAGTGCACTGTCCATGTTTATTTGCATCTTAATAAAGAGAGACAGGCAGTGCTCGGAAACAGCAGAGGCCAGTGACCATTGCCAATAGTCCAAAAGGGTTCCAACTGGAAAAGGAAGGCCCAGAATCAGAGATGATGAAGTCCTAATTGAACTTAAAGGCCACAGATCCTACCAAAGCAACATGGCTCAGAAAAAGGAAAGGAAAACACAAGTAGTTCCCCCTCTTAGGTTAGTAAATGAGCATCACCTAAGTTGTGAACTTAATTCCAACTTCACAATTGTAATGAGATGGGCAAACTAGCTCAGCCACATCAAAGTCTTGAAAATCAAATGAATCCTACCTCAGATTATTATTTCCCTTTGATCATTGGATTTGCAATTTTACTTGGTGAACCTAATGCAAATATGCGAACTTATCTTGCTTGTTTGAAGTTAGAACAAATACAAGAGAGTGAAGGAACTGTGAGAAGAAACCGACTGTAGCTGCTTGGAATGCTTATTTCTAAATATGCAAGACCCTCAAAATCACAAACTCAAAGACAAGTCTGGAGAGCCAGTGAGTTGCTATTGAGAAGCCACTATAGTAATCTCATCCATCGGAGGAGCCATTGAAATCATTCACTGCATAAAGCTTCAACCACAAAGCGTTTTAGAACTCCAGGACAAGGATCACCAAGGGTAGCTCCAGGAGGAAGATGTTTATGGCTGCATCAGAAGTTCCAAAAAGAAAAAGGAAAAGGAGAGAAGACTTGTAGAAGTCTTGCTTTTTATGCTTGGTTTTGGATGTCCTAAAAATGCCATCAAAGCATCTTCTACCATGGTCCTTGAAAGGACTGCTTCATAAAAGCAGAGGAACCTGGCTTGCTCAGAGTGGTATCATTGGCCATTAGGTTGATATTTTCTAAAGATTCTGTGTAGCTTTATTACTTTGGTAGTCACTGAAGAATTCTTCTTCTTCTTTTTTCTCTTTTGTGAGATAGCATTCAAGAACTCTTTATCCTTGAGAAGTATGGTAAACCCAGCTATAGTTCTACTAAGTTTGAAATCGATACGATTGCCTTACCATTCCCTGGTGTGCATCTCTACCAACCATCATGGAAAAAGAAAAAAAATTTACTATTCCCAAAGGCTTATGCTATTGAAATTTTCCACTTGTTTGTCCCATAGAGAAGAAATTGCATTCCAGGACAAGGATCACCAAGGGTAGCTGCTGATATGAGGATCTCAAGCGGTGAATCAACTCAATTTGACGACTGTCCAATATCAAGGCATTTCCATGGAGCAATATATAGGAAGAACAATTGTTATTGATAATTTTTTTTTTTAATAATTTAATGATGATTATGTGATGCATCAAATATCAAATATTGTTATAAATTTATCATTTATCAAAGGAAGAGTATAGACACGAATTGATTAAACATTTATGATTAATTTATTAAATTAAGTTATAAATAAATTGATTAGTATTTAAGATTTCATATATTTTATACAAGATACGATAACTAATGGTATATTAAATCTTGTTTGTTTATTAATAATTATTTTTATTAAATTTTTATTTATTTATTTATACATAAAATCACTTATATGTATATATTTTTATTTATAGTAAAAAAAATTATATTATAATTATAAGATTAAAATTATCATATTAGTTATCAAACAATCTTATTAATTCAACATTTAATTTTCAATAAATATAAAATAATTTTTTTATAATATATTTAACACTTAATTATTCAAGATTTAAAATTCTGCTCAACTTAATTTTTATTTTTATCGGACACCACTTTAGGAGATAACTGTACCAGTTGATCCTAGGAGATCAAAAAACGATACACAGCTGGTATTTTTCTTTATTTATTTTCTAATAAATATGATCAGAAACTAATCCTTGCTCCAGCAAAGTCACTAAGAACCTTCTCTTCTGCTTGTTGCGTGTAAGAAGAAAAAATGAAAGCACTAGTGATAACTGTACCAGGTGGCCCAGAAGTGCTGCAATTACAAGAAGTTGAAGACCCGCAAATGAAAGAAGATGAAGTCTTGATTAAAGTAGAAGCCACAGCCTTGAACAGGGCCGATAGTCTCCAAAGACAAGGCAAGGATCCACCTCCTAAAGGAGCCAGCCCGTATCCTGGTCTTGAATGTTCAGGGACTATTGAAGCTGTCGGAAAAAATGTTTCCCGCTGGAAAATTGGCGATCAGGTAATTCATTTCATTTCAAGTTCCCTCAAGAACCCAATTCTTAGAAAGTGGTGTTTTTGCATGTTTTATATATATATATATATATATATAAGATTGAATTTTGGCTTAAAAGACATGAGTCTTCGATATAGGTATTGTTAATTTCGAGTTTCCTCAAAAACCCAATTCATAGAAAGTAATAATTGTTGCATCTTTCTGAGAGAAGTTTAAATTTTGGCTTCAGGTTTTGATATGAAGCTTTTAAATTCAAAGTTCTCTCAAGAACCCAATTTGTAGAAATTGGTTTTTTTGGATTTTTTTAATCAAAGATTGAATTTTGGCTTCCCAGCAGGATTTTATTTTTTAATATAAAGAATGTTACTTGATTGGAAAATGTGTTATGTTATACTACATAGGTTTGTGCTCTTCTTAGTGGAGGAGGTTATGCAGAGAAAGTGGCTGTTCCAGCAGGACAAGTGCTTCCTGTTCCACAGGGTGTTTCCCTTAAGGATGCTGCCGCTTTGCCTGAAGTAGCATGTACTGTTTGGTCAACTGTTTTCATGACGAGTCATCTGTCTGCTGGGGAAACGTTCCTGGTAAACTTCTGTGTCAATCCAGCTCTACATTTTAATGCATGGTGGTTTGTAAAATGGTGCTGCTCTGAAGAATCTTGCTGTTGAGTATAGTCAGTAGTGCCACTTAGAGCTATAGGTTTGGGACGTAAAATAAATGTGTAGTGCAAAACTGGACGTCAGTCACAGTTTCCCCTTTCTATTCTATAAAGTTGAAATTACAAAAATTAAATTACACATTGGAGATTGGTTGAAAAATCATACTGAGAATGTAGGTATGTTCTAACTTTTGCTTACAACTCCATCGATGTGTAGCGACTGTACAGTAATTCCTTGGTTAACAAATGTGATATTTTATGATCTAAGATTTGTCAGTCTATTCGCACAGATCTTTTTTATGCCCAGCTTGTTATTTGAACTAATGACTTTCAGAATTTCAGGTTCATGGGGGCTCTAGTGGAATTGGTACATGTGCAATTCAGATAGCTAAACATCAAGGGGTTAAAGTGTTCATGACAGCAGGTTCAGCCTGCGCTTCTCATCTAGCTTCATCAGTTTGCTATGAAATCATGCTATGCTAATTGTCATATATGTTGTTTCTTGATTGTCAGGGAGTGAGGAAAAACTAACCGTTTGTAAGGATCTTGGAGCTGATGTGTGCATCAATTACAAGACCGAGGACTTTGTGGCACGAGTGAAGGAAGAAACTGGTGGGAAAGGTATTTTCGTTATAATTGCAAATGTAAGTGGATTTGCACTTGTAAATCTATCCATAGCACTGCCATACTTTACATTTTAATAGCATTATATGTTTCTTAACCATAACTCAATCAATAGCTATTAATGGCAGGTGTTGATGTTATTCTGGATAGTATTGGAGCACCCTACTTTCAGAAAAACGTGGACAGCTTAAATATGGATGGGAGACTTTTTCTCCTTGGCTTCATGGGTGGAGCTGTGACACAAGTAAATCTGGCTTCTTTGTTTGCAAAGCGCGCCACAGTGCAAGGTATTACCAGTGCTCATCATCTTGGGTTTGAGTTCCATAGGCTCGGAGTTGGATGAATCTGGTTTTTGTTGAATGCTCTAGTAGATGAATTTCTCAGAACAAGTTTTAGCTCCTTGTAGAAGTTTCTTGGTTCTTCTTTTTTTCCCCCTTCTAGTAAGTTTCATGACACTTCATGTTCTAGATTCGTCATGTATAGCTACGTGCTAGATTTCATAATACAAACAAATGTTTGTTCAAATTTTATCACACTGTCTGGTGTACACAAATTGTGTTGTGCTTTTCTATGGTAGTTTTGGCTAACTTGGCTAATATTACTACATTGAAACTGTCAAAAGATTTTTATTTGAAGGAAACATGTTTTATTTTCGAGACGTTTCCTCGCCATGATGCCTTTCCTGTTCGTCTAATAACTCATGGATGATAAAACCAATTTCTAGAAAATTATTCCAAACCCCAAAAAAACTATATTTTGCTAGGGATTATTTTCTTTTGGGTCAATCAACTTTGAGCAGCCCATTTCTCAGTCTGATTAAGTGAGCACATTCAAACATACATATAAAATGTGCTTCCATTTTTAGATATTGCATTATGTCTTTATATTTTTACATGTTCTGTATTTAATGGCCTTGTCCCATCCTGTTCAGTCCAATTCATCCCCATTTGCACACCAAACAAAAATTACAAGTGGAGCTCTTCAGTCCAATCTGTAGTTTCGTATTTATGAATACTCTACCTAATACACTGAAACCCCACTTTTCACTGAAAGAGTGCTGGGGTTAGATAAAATTCTCTCTGCAAGGCTATTTGTAAGAATGTAAACATCTATATAATATCAATGTCCTGTTTTCATGTGTATTGGTTTTCTAAAGAGTTATTGTCTTGTATTGATTATGTGACCCTAGTACACCTGTTGTTGGTGATCATTTATGCAGCGGCTGGCTTGCGATCTAGAACTCTGGAAAACAAAGCAGAAATTGTTAGTGAGGTGGAGAAGAATGTTTGGCCTGCAATTGTTGCAGGCAAGGTGAAGCCGGTGGTGTACAAGTATCTTCCATTATCTAAGGCAGCAGAGGGTCACCGGCTCATGGAAAGTAACCAGCATATTGGGAAGATCGTGCTTGTCGCATGATGCTATTGACAGCCATACAGCAAAAGCAGTGATTTTTTATCTGCAACGACTTCTGTCTATGGTGCTTGTATTGAGGGAATAAATAATAGGAGTCTCTTGGGCCATTGTATTTATGTATGCAGTTTATTAACTTTATTTTTCAGTGGCCGTGACGTAATTCTCTTTGAATTGAATGGAAATCTCACAAATATGCTATGGAATGATCTAAAGTATCGACCCTTTTCATCTTGATCTTGTTTCAAAGCTCCTATCTTGTTACAATTCATTCATGGAGTCATGGTAAAGGCTCAATCGACAGAAATCTGGGGCAGAAAGATAAATTTACAGGGCACTGTCCATGTTTATTTGCGGTCTTAATAAAGAGAGACAGGCAGTGCTCGGAAACAGCAGAGGCCACAGTGACCATTGCCAATAGTCCAAAACCAAAAAGGGTTCCAACTGGAAAAGAAAGGCCCAGAATCAGAGATGATGAAGTCCTAATTGAACTTAAAGGCCACAGATCCTACCAAAGCAACATAGCTCAGAAAAGGAAAGGAAAACACAAGTAGTTCCCCCTCTTAGGTTAGTAAATGAGCATCACCTAAGTTGTGATCTAAGTTCCAACTTCACAATTGTAATGAGATGGGCAAACTAGCTCAGCCACATCAAAGTCTTGAAAATCAAATGAATCCTACCTCAGATTATTATTTCCCTTTGATCATTGGATTTACAATTTTACTTGGTGAACCTAATGCACATATGCGAACTTATCTTGCTTGTTTGAAGTTTGAACAAATACAAGAGAGTGAAGGAACTGTGAGAAGAAACCGACTGTAGCTGCTTGGAATGCTTATTACTAAATATGCAAGACCCTCAAAATCACAAACTCAAAGACAAGTCTGGAGAGCCAGTGAGTTGCTATTGAGAAGCCACTATAGTAATCTCATCCATCGGAGCAGCCATTGAAATCATTCACTGCATAAAGCTTCAACCACAAAGCGTTTTAGAACTCCAGGACAAGGATCACCAAGGGTAGCTGCTGATATGAGGATTGAACAGCCTTCTTGACCAATGCAAGCCTGTAATTTCATTCAAACATGTAATAGGTGCAGAAAAGAAGGAGAAGGTACCATGAATAAGATACAGCAATGAAGAGAAGCACAAAATCACGTAGAATAAGACTAAGCATGCAGGAGAGTATGGCTCAAAGGAAATGAACTAAAACTAAGCAATAGTAGCTATAAAGACCAAGAAGTAATTGAAGGAAACGGTGACTTGTTAAGCCTCAATCCTCCACACACACACACACAAAACTTAACATCCACATTTCACATGATATGATAAATTGGTTGAATAAGAGAATGGGCTTAGCAAGCCACCCAGTTGTATTTACAATCTTGTTATGAGAATGATATCAAATGCACCACGATTGGAAAACCAAACCTCACGATGTTACAATTTGGAAGTTGACACGACTAGAGACAAAACTCAGGCTTGTCTCTGTCAGAATATCCTTCACAATTCTAATGCAATGCACAAGAATTGGGAATATCTATCAGATAACATGCCTCTTAAGTCTTAACACGAAGAGGAACCAATATCAGCAACCACAGCCTATGTTACAGTAGCATCTGCAATATATAACTCCATGCAAACCAAAATTAAATGCTAGGAAAACTGAGACAGAAACTAGACCCTGCTGGCAAACTTGGGACATGATAGCATGTTTTCAGATTATGTAGCAAGGTAGGTCTTTCTTACCTTTTGAACAACCGTTAACATGTCCGCATGACAATTCCCTGGACTGAATGTGCCACAATTTCCTTCAGGAGTTCCGAAGCTAGCAAAGTTGATAGCAGCAATGCGCCACCCCTGTTCGCAAGTTAGTCGAACTTCTGGACTTCTAGACATGAAATCTAAGTTTGGTTTCCAGGAATCAGTTGGTGGAGGATCATCTTCTGACACAATAGAGCATATATCTTGGCCAGTGCGTGTGAGCAGAGAAATTTTTGAAGGGTCACCACCAAGCTCTTCGTGCAGGACTATTAGGTTCTCACCAGGGTGAACCCAAGTTCGTGGAACGTGATACCTGGGCAAGGTTGTCTCTTATCATTAAATAGGTCAGAGAGAAATGATATATTAGTGATAATATCAGATCACAAGAAACAGAATCAATGACATAACTAACACGTCATAATTACTTCGTCAGTTGTAATTATGTTATAGTTATGATAATGTAACTTCCAAGTTCACTAAAATAGCAATTAGTTAAAATTCATGGAAAAGCATTTGCAGAACAAAAGAACTGAACAGGTGATATTGTTTCTCATAAAAAAAATGTCTATTTTATTGGTCCTATTATATTCTTATTCAAACAAGTCTATTTTACTAATGATACAACTTCCTATAAGGTTCTTTTCTTTGTTTGTTTTTACATATAGAGCAAACCTGCTTAGCAAAAGGTCAGGACAGGAAGGGAAAAAAACGAAAAGAAAGAAAAATAAATAAAAGTGACTGCCGTATTGGGGAAAAATAGATGAAAACAAGAAGTATATTACTCTTACAGTATTTGAGCAGGCTGACCACATTTCTTTTGACATTTAAATGGATTGTAAGTTCCTCTGTAATCACAGTTATCAGTGCAACCAGTTGATGTTGAGAGATAGGCAGACCAATATCGTCCTATGCTTTGCCCATTAATCCATGCCTGACCCTTCCCCATGCTTGCTAGATTTAAGGCTAGGGGGCCATTCCCTTCAGGAGCAAGGATTGTCGCCTAAGAAAGAGAGCAAACATGAAAAAACAAGGATGCAGTAGCCTGGTGGTGAACACATGGGAAAATTAACTTCAACAAGTGACCGAAGAAGTAGAGCCTGATTCGCAATGAAGACCATATGTGCTTTATTTAACTGGCATCACAGAGTTCATTGTATGGCAGAACTGAACATAAGTTGTAGCATGTAAACTTAAGCCCATGCTACGTAAAAATTTCCCTAGTCTGGTAAGACTGCTCAGTTTCACATGTTTTCTTCATCAACAAGAGTTGCTCATCACATAGCTACAACACAAACTTCATTTTCAAGATGAGTGACAATCAAAATGACAATGGCAATCTATGGTTTTCCAGTCCAGCCAAATTCTATCAGCATGTAACAAACACTGTCAAGGCTTGTAAATGTCCATGAATACTAAATCATAGAGGTTCTTGCTATGTGAAAAAAGAAGGGAATCTTCATTTCTATAAAACCATTAAAAAAAAAAATCTAGAAACAAAAAGGATGGCTTAACTGTAACCAGTGCCAAGTATGAGCAAACAAAAGAGAGATTTCATCAACCTGTTTTTGAAACATATGCAATATACACTCAATCATTAAAATTTAATGAATTAATACCTTTTAACAGTTTAATGCATCCACTTACCTTGTACCATATCAAGCTCTTATTAACAGGTAGAGAAGTCCCCTGACTCCACAGTGAACTATTCGCTAGACTGACTTTATCCAGTCCAAGGTATTCTCCTTCAAGTCCCACCTGGAGATGGACACAATGAAGACTGAGAATGTCTTTAGAGCACAACTTGCCAAAGTAGAAATCTTCTTGGAGATTAATATGAGTAAAGTTTTTCTGGGGCATTGTATTTTAATTTTGTTTTCTCAGCAGAAAGCCTGTTAAATTAGGATGTCCAAAAATATTCAACAGAGCATTATATAGATAGATTAAACAAAAAAACGCTAGATAGGACAGATTTTTGCCAAGCAAGCTGATATATAAGATGTATTTCAACCTGGTAGGCCCATTTTCCAGAAGAGAGATCTTTCTTGCTCTTATGAAAGTCGATGAGAAAAACAGAATAAATTCCAGCTCCTTGAATATCAAACCATGGTCCGTAGTTCTGATGTACATATAAAACATTAGAAATGTTAGCAACACTGGCATCAAAGATAGCTAGCTATAAATAACTGGAAACTAGTTTGTTGTCCCCAGGGACCAAGCAGTTTAAATAGCTGTAAATGTTTATAATGCTGACATGTTTATATTAAGGTTGGAAACTCTTACAAAGATAGGGAAATCTATGGAGGTATGCCACCCATTTTCAAACCACTATCCAAAAAGTTATCAAAATTGTAGCAGGGTAGAAAGAAGAGCTAAATTGTCCAACTCTCTTGGAGTTCCCTCTTACTGAACAGGTTTGGCTTGTGTCCACACATGAGTACAATCAATTTGGAAAAGTAAATGGATCTGTTTTTACCTGTACACCAATCAGCATACTTAAAACATCCAGTGTATTATTTCCTTCTTCAAGATTAATTTTCTCATTGAGTGAGAAGCTTGCATCATCATGATTGCCGTATCCAAAAGCTGCAAGATATCCAAATATGCAATGTGCACCAATTATCATACTAACGCATACACAAGAAATTGAAGCAGCAACAATGATCTATAAATAATTTGCTAAAATGGGAACATTGAAAGTCGAGATGATTCCATATGAAATGATAACAACATATAAGCAATTAGAGAGGAAGAAGATTTAAGAATGCTTTCTGAATGCTGGCTGAAGATATGACGAGACAGCTGCTAAAACAGATTAAAGTTATGAAAACTGAAGAAAAGATGTAAAATGAAGCTCCCATAAAGCTATTGTAATCAATCAAGACACGAGATGACTAATATCCAAGCATCCCTGACCAGTGTAGTTCCCACGAAATTCAAATCAATAGAAAAAAGGTCCCAAACAAGTTTTCAAATTTCAACATGAAATAGCATCATACATACAGCTGTCAAAGAATGCAGAATCAAGTCAGTTAACCAGTAGGGTACCTACCTACAAGTTTTTTGTTCACAAAAACAAGTGCTGCATGCCCCAAACTATCAATATTCAAAAAGTGTTCTTTGTCTTGGCCAGCTTCCACATGAAGACTGCCAATATAGTGAAGCAAAGCCCAAAGAATAAGGGCACACAAAATGAAAGAGTCATAAAGAAAAGTAGAAGTTAGTATGAGTAAATGTTCATGAAAAGGCACTGATCTTCTTCAGAAAAGATTATATATCGCATAAATTCAGAAGATTTCTGAAAGGAAAAGAAAAAAAGAATATATTTCAGAGGCGTACTTAACTTATTAAATCACTTCCCATCTGAACAAAAAACTAAAGGGTTGGTAGAAATATTCAATTTTGAAAAGAATAAATATAAGTTTAAACTGATAATTCAATTTTGTCAGATGAACAAGATGCAATCAATTATTAGTCCACATAAGAACCAACAGCAAGAATCATAATATGTTGAATGAATTACCTGGTTGAGTACCATAGAAAATCACTGGTATCTTTTGTTGTATTAATCTGCTCCAGTAAGCCTGGCTTTGTATAAGAGTTGTTACCCCAAATACCCACTTCTTCGTTATACCAACTCCATGGTGATGTTGCCCCTAAAATCCCATCAACAGTGGTGGAGCGGGCAAACGAAGCATCACCTATATGTCTTTGTGTAACAACCTTCAATTATGAAGAAGGATGCATGAAATGGATAATTGCAAAAATTTAATCACGTCTTTGACTATAAATTTATATGAATGATAGCTACATTTTATCCATACTGTCACACAATCAACATGCAAAATTTCCTTTTTCCTACGTATCAGAGAAAAAATTTTGTAATTAGCTAAAAGGAGAATGAGCATATAGCCACTTCCATGTAGGCTGTAGTCATTTATTATCTTTGGATAGTACCTTAGCCGTGTTGAAAATGACATTCTTACAATCTGGAAGTATGCTCACAGACCATGCAGGTAGAAAATACGAATTTCCATTAAATGTAACGCTTGCATCTGAACTGCTGTCAAAATTGGCTAGAAAGGCTGCACAATTGTTGGAAGGCTTATAGTAGACATGTGCCTGAAAAAACGAAGAAAAGGGCCAGTCAGAATGAATGGAAAAATGCAGGAAACTAATGAATAAAGCTTATTACTGGCATCATATAGTGTAAGAATCTTAAAACATGAGTTCCATAATGTATATGGGAAAGGCATGTAGAAAACATAAGGATGTCATTGAGGACAATAAAGCACTTGGAAGCACTAAGCCGGGTTTGTCTACAATTTATCATCTTTGATATAAGCAAATAGCTTTATGTTCCCATAGGCCTGAATCGAGGACAGGATCTTGGAAACAAAGAAGTTCCCAACAATGTCTTGTATAATAATTAGTCCTCAAATTGACCAAAATATATTTGAAGCTGGTTTCAAAGAAATGGACACTTGGGTCGACAACCCCAAGACTGTCATTTAAAAAAGCAACATTAACAGAATATGATTTTTTCAATGAGGTAGATAAACAAAAGCAGCCATCGGGATCCATGAAGTAAGAACTAAAACAAATTCTATTAGTGCCAGACAGAAATACATATCGGTGTAATGCAAAATTGGAGATTTTGGGAATCTCCAATGATCTAGCTTAATGGGGAAGGTACAGCATGTTATAACATTCAGAATACCTCTAAATTATGACCAAGCTGCTGGTGAACTGGATCTGAGCTGACCAAATATTCTTCACACTGCTTAATTGCACTGTGCAAATCATGCAAGTGGCCCCACTTTGGCTGTCTAATAAAACCTGCAGATGATGTGTTTCATGAGATAAACAGCCACTAGGTTTTGTGTTGCAGTTTGAAAATGGAGTTTTAACAGAGATAAATATTGCCTCACAAAGTGCAGAACGAACTATGGCTCTAATATAATTTAGACAGTTGATATACTTAAAAGGATAAGTTGTTATCATAATCACCAGTCAGCTGCAAAGTATATACCATTTGACTTAATGCTATGCTAAAGTGGTCAGAAATGACACACTAAGGCTCAACGATAATACAGATTACGATGAACTGAAAAAGGTGAGCATGAAAAAGGATAATTGCACAGGATTGATATGTTTTCTGCATGAAAAGACAGATAAGATTGCAGCTCAGTAGATTGATTCACTAGTTAAATAGAATAATCTCCTTAGCAATGCATCAAATAAGGCATGCTTCATGAGCTGAGATAAATGAGTATATCCATTATCAAAATTTTACCATATTCGTCTATTGGGGCATCATAATCATAGCTTGTTGCAACCAAAGGCCCTCCGGCAGTTCGTCCAAAGTTGGTTCCACCAAAATACTGCAAGTAAATATCAGCACAGAGGCAGAAATGGAAACAAGGTTTAAAAAACTGTGTTACAACATTATGTTCCCTTATTTACAATATAACAATTAGAATAGGAGAAACAGAACATATAACAGCCTCACCATATAATAGTTTTGAAAAATGCCTCCACATTCGAAAAATCGTGCAACAGAAAATGCTAGGTCCTCAACAGGTCGATAAGGAACAGCATAGCCAAAGGCAAGAAACCTGCAAAGTTGAATAGGATTTCTTAGGCTTTAGACTTCTCTGATTAACCAAAACCTAGAGTTGCTCCTGATGCATATACACAAGGAATAAATTAAGTTAAATCAGTTCTAGATTATTACCATCCACTGTAGTTCTCAGTCCACATTTTTGGCTTGGAAGGGGAATTTGGGCTGAACTGGTCACAGTAAAATCCATTGCATGTGTTTATCTGCATTGAAATGATAAACACACAAGCAAGAACTTACATAAATCATTTTATAGTCCAAAGTTGCTATAAAATGTTCAGAATACACTTGCAGAAAACAAAAGGGTTTTGCTATCAAATTAATCATACAATTGGATCGGGGGCATCATTTTGTGCGCACATCACCCAAGGTACAGTTGTATTCAGACTAATGGCAGTTTCTGCAGCCCATTTGACATATAGTTCTCCACCAACCCCATAAGCCCATTCAACATTCCCATATTCATTCTCAACCTGTTACAGCTCACACACGAGACATGAGATCAACAAAACTTTCTTGCTGCACTGCATTATATAGTGCTGATTTTGTAAACATCAGTGGCTAACTTGTATATGTCAGAAACCATGGAAAGAATCTTCCACTAGAAACCATGGAAAGATAAAGATTGACTAAAATCTTCATGCATAGCCAGATGTTCACCAAAAAAGGATATCAGTCCTTTGTATAGATTGAAAGAATATGATCGCAAGTTTCTATCATTAATAGATAGAGATAGAATATTGGTCGATCACCTGAGCAAGAATGATTGGTCCTCCTTGTGATGCAAAAAGATTCTCTTCCTTCATTAGATTGACAATTTTTGTCAGAAAACTCTTCATTGCATTCTGCAGGGACAATGATACTGGCATCATGTAACTCATAGGAAAAGGTTAAATTAATCAGCAACAATAATAAAATTTGAACTATTAAATGCATCATCATCAAGATCAAAATGTACCTTAAATATATCATTAGTTGTTCGAAACTGAACCCCAGGAATGAAATGTAACCAAAGTGGGAAACCCCTGTCGTTGAAAAAACTAAAGGAGCTTAAAAATAATATTGATGCTAAACTTGAAAGAAACTGTATCTGAATAATTTTGGAGCAGATCAGCATATAATGGCATTTCTTGACAGTTATCCTGGATATCAAGGAGCCTCGTGATCATTGTCTATGTAGTATACATACATTATCCAGCACATTGATGAAAGGCACCAGCACAAACACACTTTCAAAACTTTCTAATCCGTAAAATATATAACGTGTAGGGAAGCATACAGAGTAGGGGAAACAGAAAATAGGAGTGTCAAGACTCAGCAATGGAAAATGAAATCAGAAACAGACCCATAGTTCCATTCAGCACAGGCATATGGACCAATCCTCAAATGAACAAAAAGACCAGCTTCCTGAACTGTTTTCACGAACCGCACTAAATCAAACCGGCCTTCAAAATAGTACTGTAAAAATCAAAGGAATCATCAACACCCTCAACAAATCATGAGAATAGAAACAATAATTAATCAGTAGTCCTGAATTTCCAAACAATCAGCTGGCAAACCAATGCTACTAGAGAAACACTGAACCATGCAAGCCATCTCGACAATATCAACTTCCATTATAGAAAACTCTAAATGTGAAATGCTATGAACTGGGGGTGAATCGTGTCCATCCACCTTGACACAGCCCAGTACGAAGGACAAACAGGATTCACTCAAGTGCAGGTGGACAATTGTCTCAAGTCATCATTCTATCTAACCATTCATACTTCCTATGTATAAATTCATTGCAACTATACTTGATTACTTATACTAACCGGTGCATCCGATAATTTAGCAAACACAGAAACTAGCACATTACCTGTCCCTTCACAGGCTCGTGATAGTTCCAGAACACATAAGTCTCAATTACATCCAATCCCCCTTCCTTTGATTTCCTAATAATTTCTGGCCACACCTGAAATTTCATCTCCAACAAACATATCCCACCTTAAACCATAATGCAACATCTTGTAACCAAAAAACCAACCAAAACAACACAATTGTCTGAAGAATTATGATAAATACCAAAAACCCACCTCAGGAATGGTCCGAGGATAATGAACAGAACCAGACTGCAAAACCCTTCTCTTTCCATCAATAACCAGAGCTTTGTGATCATAAGTCACTGTAACACACCACACTCTTTCAAACCAATAACATTCAAAGATGAAAAGAACAAGCAAAATCAATGCTAAAGAAGAATTCTTGTTCTTGCTTCCCATAATGACACTTGTCTTAAAACCATGAAACTAGAAGAAGTGAGCCACTTTTTCTCCTTAGAGTAACTCAATATATATAAGAGGTACATGATCAAGAAAGAAAAATATAAATTCTGGGTTTTGTTTGTTTTGTTTCATCTGTTTGAATTGAAGATGACGAATAAGTAGAAAAGGTTTTTTAAGGAGGAGATTCTTGGACATACATGATTATCCAAACGGCATTTACAAAGCTTTGTTTTGTTCAGCAAACATTGTATGGTCTCCTTTGACCAGTGATTGTGAAAGGAAGAGGTTGTCTTCGAGAAGGGATAGAATGAGACAAGGGAGAAGATGAGAGAGACATTTTGGATGTTCTTGAGCGGTAAAATGCGAGATTACCCTGTTTCTTGCTTTTCGCAGTTTCGATTAAGGGTATGTTATAGCGCCAAAGGCTACATGGGCTGCAGAAAATGCTATACCATTTTGAAAGTTGAAGATTTTGGAGCTAATCCAAGGGTCAGCAAATTGACTTAAGCACTGAGCCCTTGCTCGAACTGACCTTTTTGTTGTGTAAGCCTTAGTTCAGTCCCCCAACTATATATATTTCTTGATTGAGTCCCCAAACTACTATTTTATTAATTGAGTTCCTATTCATTTATCTTTTGTCAATTGGATCCTTTTGTTAAACGGTTTGAGATGGCGTTAAATAGTGCGACTTCAATTTTTCCAAATGAAAGCAACATTGAAGGTTCCACCTAAGATTCGAAAAATTAGAGCTAATCAAGAAATACATGGCTAGTGTATGTATTATTTAACATCATGTTTCATTATTTTAATAGAAAAATCTGATTAAGTTAATGTATATAGATTGAGGACTCGATTGAGTCATGTTTCATTATTTAACATCATGTTTCATTATTTTAACATTGTGATGACCAATGAAACTTGCACACATAGTTTTTTTTTTTTTCTATCAAACAATTATCCAGTCCCATGTTTTTCGAAATATATCTAATCTCGTATATTTTTTGATAATTATAATTTCACCTTTTCTTCCATCTCTAAAAAAAACCATTATTATCCTTATGGTAGGTGAAAGGCATATTTGATTGTCTCAGTATCTATTTATGATCGAACGAGCCCAAAAACCTATAAACTCTATATTAATACTTATCCATTCAAGATACGTTTAGTTTCATTAGTCATGTACCTGAGAAAATATAATTACAATGCCAAAATGGTATAAAGAATGTAAAATGTTCAATACACCTCAAATTTAAGATTTTAAACAATATTGTTTAGTTTGTGAAAAAATTCAAATTTATGAAAAAATATAAAATAAAAAAAAATACTCCTTATGTGTCTTTGGAAATCTCATATTTCATATATACAATATGATTTAACTTCGAAATTGCATAACCTTCTAAAATTAAGACATTTATATCTCACAAATGTCACATTCTGAGGATGCAAGAATCCGATGATCAAAGGCCCTTACTGCTTGTGCGAGGCGGGACTTATGTCGGCCACGGGCTGTAACAACCATAGTTTGACTAACAGTTGGGCTTTGACCATCCGCCTGTCCTCTCGAACATGTCGATTGTTTACAGAAAGAGGGCCTTAGCTCGGAAAAAGGTCGAAGAAATCTCTTGCATTTGTCCATCACCCCATTTCATTGCCACAAATAAGTGGAAAGTATGGATTCCCAGACTGGTAGGTGTCAAGTTCTGACTTGATCTGTATGAGCCATATTTATTACTTGTCAACACGTTCTCAGCTTGTGAAATAATTAAAGAAAGCAAAAACGTGGACTTGTTTAACAGGCCACACGATCCCGTCCCTGGAGCAGTAATCTATGGTTAGTTCAACTCCAATCGGTGTATCTTTGAAAATAAATAGTGGGTTCTCTTACAAAATCCCAAGGAAGCAGGAAAAGAAGACAAAAAAACTCGATCAAGAAATCAGTTTCACCCCATCTTCTTGATACTGTAAGTGTTTCTCTTTCCTTCGTTAAAGAAACCTCAAAAACTTTACATTGTTCACTTCTTTTAATATTACATTAAACTTAGATCCTTCTTGAAATGAGTGCTTTTGTTTTACCTAGAATGTAGTTTATGATTTGATATAAGAGCGCTAGATTACTGCAGAATCATGGGATTAATCCATAATTATGCTTTCTGTTGCTGGTGCTGCTGCTTGAATCTTGTGATGAATCTATGATTTTGTTTTCTGTTGCTATTGTGTTGTGCAATAATTTTGCTGAGTGGGTTATTTAAGTTTTCTTGCAATAATAAATACTTTAATCTATGTGTTGTATTTACTTTATTGTTATAATTGGCTTGTCCATCGTATTTCTGTTTTGCTGTTTTCGAGTGTCCTTTAGAGATATTTTCATAAAGATGGAAACTTTTGTGTTATTTTTCATAATTTTAAGAAATAGAATTATATAAGTGAGCCAAAACTCTGTTGATTATGTTGCTTGTTAGAAAGTTATTTATATAATTGACTTCACTAGCAACATAGATCTTTGTTCGTTTTTTTAAAAAATAAAATAAAAAATAATGGTAGACTAATTATTTTTGGGAACTAGCCGGAAGCATTTTAGATCTGCCATTTTCGATGACCCTAAAATTGATTACTGTAAAATTTTGATAGATGTCCCTATTTGCATTTGTATATATGTGCACGTGTATACATTACTGCAACAGTTATAGATTGATGAAGTTCCCAACATATCTCTAATGCATGATCTTAAGGAAGAATTATATAAGTGAGCCAAACTTGGGTGATTATGTTGGATTGTTGGTTTGTTTTTTAAAGGCTTTATTTTCATAATGGGCTTCGTTTGCAATTAAAATTTCGTTGGTGTATTAAATAGCTGAAGTTTTCTTCTGGAACTAGAAGATTGCATTTTGGATGTGCCATCATTGGCAACCCTGAAACTGTTTACGGTAGAACTCGATACTTGTGTGCCTATTTACATGTGGGTATATGCACGGATATGTATGTTACCCGAAGTTTGATACATCGATGAAGTTCACACATTTATCATCCACTGATATATTCTAAGTGATGTTTTCCAGTAATAAATCTAAGTGTGAATTGTAAGAGAAATAGTAGTTGAATGCTCCTGCTATCACCATTTGCCACTGTGCGATTACTTTAATATTTTGACTTATTGCTGTTCTTGTTTATTATCTGACTTTGATCTGTTAAAGCAAAACTTGCTGAATTCACTCCTACCACTGAGAACTGTTCGTATAGGTTCTGATGATTTGCTAATGTCCTTTTGCAGATTCTTGTTTCTTGATTTGCTGTTGAATAATGGATTTCAGTAATATGGATCGTGGACAGATTACCCTATTGGGGTGCGGATTCTGCGTTCTGCTTACACTGCATTTTACAGTGCAGCTCCTATCTCAGCATCTGTTTTACTGGAAAAACCCAAAGGAACAGAAAGCCATCATAATTATTATCCTTATGGCTCCCATATACGCTGTCGATTCCTTCGTGGGTTTGTTGGATATCCAGGGGAGTAAACCATTCTTCACGTTTTTGGATTCAGTTAAGGAATGTTATGAGGCTTTGGTGAGTTTCCAATGCAGTAGTTTTGATTTAACTTTGTGCCGTGGCACTTTTTGCTCGTTTCCTCATTTCTAGTTTCTCATTTCTACTTGCAGGTGATTGCTAAGTTCTTGTCATTGATGTATAGTTACTTGAAAATATCCATAAGCAAAAATATTGTGCCAGATGAGATCAAAGGAAGAGAAATTCATCATTCCTTCCCAATGACACTTTTTGTGGTATGGAAATTGTTTGTGCAGTTTCTTTCCTGTTTATAATATATAATATATAGCAGTTACATCTCGAAAGGGTGTCATGAGAGGAATGCTGCCATTAGACTTGTCTATCCACCTTATTATAGCTAAATTTGACATATTATGTTTTCATAAAATGCAGCCTCACACAGTGCGGCTAGACCACCGTAATTTAGTGCAACTCAAACACTGGACATGGCAATTTGTCATCATTCGCCCAGTATGTTCCATCTTGATGATAACACTGCAAATGCTTGGCTTTTACCCTAATTGGTTGAGTTGGACATTCACCATTATCCTCAACATTTCGGTTACACTGGCTCTGTATTCTCTGCTGGTGTTTTACCATGTGTTTGCAAAAGAGTTGGCACCACACAAGCCTCTTGCAAAGTTCCTATGCATCAAGGGGGTTGTCTTCTTTTGCTTTTGGCAGGTAAATATCCTTCCCATACCCTTCCTGCTTCTTGTTCTTCTTTTCTCTCTTCCTCTTGCTTTGTTGTGCAAAGGGCAGGGGAGTGTTTTTAAGCCAAAGGTGCAAATCAGACCCTCAAGGGCTCCAGGGGCACAAAAGGAACCTCCAATAACCTAAAGCAAACCAACCAAATCTCTCTTAGTCCTGATAGGATAGACGAAAGGAGATTACCCTTGGTTAATCCAATTAAAGAAATTATACAACCTTTGAGAATTTTTTAATCTTGTGCAAATATCAGTTTCACGGTTTGTTTAAGAACGAATTGGGTGGGCCTCTGCTAGTCACTAAAAATAGAACCATGCTAATGAAAAGCTACTCTATATGATATCTGGATCTTTTGTCTTCAGACAGTTCAGATTCAAATTTTATTGGGCTATTTGGTGTGAAGTGGTTCAGATTTTAATTGACCGGAATATGCCAGATTAGTGCTTCCCAATGTAGATAGTTTAGTTGAAAAAGGTTGATTGTATCTTGTTTGCTTATGCTTTTAAATTTGAGATAGGGGCCATGCATATTTGATTAAATTCCATATGGAGATTCTCCAGAAGCCTTGAAATAGAGCCGTGCAGCATACTTGAAACATTTCGTAGTTTTATGGACCTTTAGAATGCCTACGGGAAATTCATTGCAAATGCTGTTTAAATTACCTTTAAGCATTTGGACTGCCTGATCAGACTTCCAGAACTGAGGAAGTGGATTAACATGTTCTCTAGAATTGATCGGGGATCACAACTTCCTTCTGTCTTCAACACTTTGCAATCTGTGAAAATCTCAGTATGCCTGTATTAGTCTTACCCAGTATTATTTATGTTGTCCTTTTGTCTGTGTTAATTAATAGCGCATGGATGCTATCACTTGTTTGTAAATTCCCTCTCTGGCAATGTGCAGGGCATAGTGCTCAGTATGCTTGTTTCAGCGGGAGTCATTCGGTCTCATCATTTTTGGTTGGATGTGGAGCACCTTGAAGAAGCTTATCAGAATATCTTGGTGATTTTGGAGATGGTTGTCTTCTCTGTTCTCCAACAGTATGCATACCATGTTGCACCTTATAGTGGAGAAGTGGAAACAAAAATGATGAAAAAAAGAGAATGATATGACCAGAATTCTAGACCATGGAGGGGACATGGTACTACATATGCTTGGAAAGGCATTTCCATAGGTTTGCTCTGTACTTTAGTGGAATACGAGGTGTCTATGGTCTACCTATGTTAATGCTATTGTTCCCTTTTTTCTCCGTTTTTGCTTTATTTTCTTTGATGACATGGCCATGCAGGAGAACATATAATGAATGTTGTTGTGTTGTCTATTATAAGACGAGTTTGTTGATGATTATTAGAAATAAAGATTTCTTCGGCCTGCTACAAAAAATAATTGTAATACAATATAGAAATTGTGTGTGGTCACACTTGCGTTCTTGGTTCACTCTAGTGCAATAAAGCTGGAGACAGTCTGCGAATAGGGTTGTTTGAAAGCATTGTTGAGGAAAAAAGATGAAAACGGGTACTTCCTTGGAGACTATTAGAACCTCAAATCTTGATTATTCAAACTAGTATTATAACGCAATTATTGGACACCTAAAACTTGCCAATTATCATAATTTCAATGATTGAGCTGGTATAACTTTCCATATCGTACTAGATTCTTAACTGTATACAGCTTTTTTAAACCGGAATTGGCTTTGATTTCTGAGCTAATATTGGTTGGAAAAATTTCCAAGGTTTTCTAGTCGAGGATGTTGGCGCTTGGTCATGAAGGACTTGCATCCTGCCTGCTATTGCCATAGGCATTTCAGGTGATATTAGTTTCATGGATTACAGATTCAATACTAAGAAAATCCTCTGATGTTAGAATTACAGTTGATTCTCTTGAACCATGTCTAGTGATAGACACTTCTTGGAGAAATAATCAGACCCCTCCATATATTCTTGGTTCAGAGACACAAAAATAACACTTGGAACCAAAGAAACCTCTACTACAAGCCATCTAGCACTTCTATGAACTTCAAAATAGCCATCGATGTGGGCTTGCTTCTGAACTTTCAAAGCATATTGTTTATATCATCCAATCATGACAGTACAACTAAAGTCTTTCTCTTTTAAAATTTTTTGTCAAGATTGGATATTATATTCTGAATATTGTATGGGTAATTGAAGTCAATTCTGAAGTGGCATGATTCCTAACAGCTAGCAATGGTGACCTAAATAAACCAACTGGGTCATGCTTAAGTACTGTACCCTAGTTAGCTATATGAAAGCTCAAGCTTATCTTAATCAGGGTGGTTTGGTCTGGTTCAGCTTGTGATTTCAGGCCTACTTAAAACTGCCTTGACTAATTGACAGATTTCCAATTGAAGCATCTTGCAAGAAAGCAGACATGAGTAATGGTGATGGGTTAGTGCTGAAAGCTCGATGGACTTGTGTCATTTTCATTTTCTCTTGTACTAATTGAAGGTGGTTGAACAGAAATAACAAAATCATTGAAAAAAAAAAAAACTGATTTGATAAGATCTGTGTGAATTAAAAGGCAAATATTCTACACCTGTTGAATGAAGATGAAGGAATTAGAATCCATGGATATTTTCTTTTTTCATAAAACTAAATGTAAATTTCTAGAAATTTTCTTTTTCATATGTAAAATGCTTTTTTTTTTCGTTTTTATGGTATTAGAGCAACGCAAAACCCATGGCAATTAGCATTTCCGGTTCAGTGTATGGCTGAATTATTTGGAAATTTCCAATCAACTTTTGATGTGATTCTAAGTTTTGTCCATTTATAATAATAGCAACTTTTTTCCAATTCCTACACAGAGTACCTGACAAGATTGAAATGCAATCTCCTATAGTTTCATTGATTCGGAGAAAGCAACATTTGACAAGTGGAAATTCAGAACGGTCACATGTGGCCATGAAAGAGCAGTAATTATTGACGTTAAGATTTTTCTTTTTGGTTTATGCTTTCAGCTTTCAATCATACGACATGAGAGGGATCTGAAAGGGATCATCCTGCATCTTGTCCGAATAATTCCGATTTAGATTCTAATGGAAAACCCAATTAGAATCCACTTAGTAGGATTCAGGATTCGGATTTGATCTAACTAGTGCCCATCGACGGTTACAAGAAGGTTTCTATAGAAGATTAGAGGAAATGGACAACTACAATTTGTCAAAATGACGATGGCTCCCATGCAACGCCAAGGTGGGTTAGAAACAAACAACAACTAGTGTTTTATTGGACTTGTTAGGCTTTATTTTCATATAATAGGCAGGTACGTGTCCACTTGAGATTGGTTTACAAGAAAGACCTGTCATTACGTGATTGTCCTCAATCTATTCTCTCTCTGTGCAATGCCTAATGACTCACCTTTTTTTTTTCCTTCTTTATCTCATTTTCATTCTCTATTATGAATCTGAAGAAAGTTTAATATAATCAGATTATGATAAGCTTAATTAAATGGTTACATCTTCCATAATTTTTTCTTTCTTTCTTTCTATTCGTTGATATTCTCCATGGAAGTTGAGAGATTCAGAAGGGTTTAGGCACACCAACCATGTTAGTTCTTCACCATTCATGGCATTGGTTTCAACTTTCTACAAGATTCTCCTGCCATTTAATTTAGCATGAAAAATATAAAATATAAAACCAAAAAAATTAATCAACGATAAGTCGTTGTTAAGCGTGCGGATTTAAAAAGAAAAAAAAATCTGAAATGAATTTGTTAATTAATAATTTGATCTTGAGCAACAGCATTGATAATTTAAAATGATCTTCACCGTTAATTTTTTTTAAAGTTTTATATTGACTTTACGATAGTACTATCATTTTAGAATTCTAATTAATAAATATTTATTTTGTTATCATATGAAAGTAAAAGCTTTATTATTGTTTTTCTTCAGTTTTATTGTATCTTCTATCTAATTCAAGGTAAATTTTAATTAAAATTATTTGGTTTTGTATTTTTGAATTGTTTAGTGTTTTGAATTTTTTTACTAAAATGATAGATGACATATTATTTTAATATAATTTATTTTATATATATAGTGTTGAAATATATTTTATATTAAAACAATATGTTTAATATAATAATCATAAAGTTTCTATAATAAAACAAGTGAGAAATCCAATAAACTATTTTATCAAATGAAGTCCATAAACTCTTTTAAGTTATCATTGCTTTGAGAGAGAGAGAGAGAGACGCTGCTTGCAAGCATGGATCATGATTTCGTTTTGTGGCGTGACCATTTTGCTATCCAAGAGGCAAACTATGAAAATAAAAAAGGCCAAAGAAAGAGTGGACACAACTACGAAAAGGAAATTTCTCTCCTTGGCGTCTCTCTTTCATTTTCGATGAGAAAAAGGGCCAAAAAAAGCGGCGTCAAACGCCACCCACCTACGCGTGAACGCGCCAACGTACCCACAGCAAAAAAGGCAAATAAATGTGACAAAGAAAGCAGCCACCAGTTGGATAAAATCATCAATGGTCCTTTAAGTAATTGACATTTGCTCAAATCACCTTTGCCAACTTCTGCTTTTTATCAAATTTAGTCCTTTTCTTACAATTTGTCAGTTATTAAGTCATTCGATTCACTTATCTGTGTGGCAACTAGGAATGGAGTGAGTTTAACTTTGTCATTGCATCTCATATTATTGGGTTTGGGATGGAGGAGAGATTCTTTTCCAATGGATTTGAGAAGGGTATGAGAATTCTTCATTAATTAAAAAAATAGATTTTTTTATAATTACAATATCATAGCTAATAGCTAATACATAATATAAAAATAAATATTAAATTTTACTATAACTCTAATACACAGTTAAATATAAATAATAAAATGTGAATTCAATAAAAAAAATTATTTAGCATATCAATTGTTCAAAAAAATATATGTTTATAAAAACAAAAAATAATACCCATACAATCATGTTTGGATTTCACATTGGACATCTAGCATGTTTTTCCTCTTCGTTCTTATTTATATATCAAGAGGAACTATTATTATATTTGTTTGCAATCGGTTCGAATTTTGACAAAACAAATAGTTTGTCATCTCTAATGACAATATATATATATATATATATATAAAAGTAGAAGAATATTTATATGTTTTTTTTAATAACACAATTAAGTCTTTACTGCGTAAAATTAGCATGTTACATTACACACATTTTCGGAAGATCAATGAAAATCTTTTTTTTTAAAAAAGATATTCATGTTTAATTGTTTGCAAATAAAGTATTGGATGTTTTAGGTATAGTGTTTCTCTTTGTATAAAATTGAAACGTACAAATACTTATTATGATGACTGGGATTACGGTAAAAATATCTAACAATTTTTTTTCTTTGTACTAACTCAAAATCACAAATTAATGCAAGATAAGATCCAAGTGCATGTTCATTTTATTTCCCAAGTCAACAAGTGCTCATGAGCAACAACATGTAAAAACCATTTTAACTTTGAAGGAGGTATTATCAATTCATTGTAAATTACAATTAAGACCTACATCCTACAAGGTTCAATTTGTTAAAAAAATGAAGTAGAAAAGTTGATATGGAAAGATACTAAGCATTGAGGGACCAGATGTGATTCTTAATCGCCACAAAATTGGTTTCGTTTTCATTCAACGCGTGCAAGTACACGCTGGTTTCCATTCAAAAACCAAAGCAAAGCGAAAGAGAAAGAAAAGATTCCCACTTTGGCTTCTCTCCTCTCCTCTCTTCTTCTTCTTCTTCTTCTTCCATACCTTTTAACTTCCTTTCTCTGTACGGTTGCTCTCTCTTGGATTCTAAGCCGCCATACGAAGAAAGACTCAGTTTTTCTTTTAGAGAGAGAGAGAGAGAGAGTATAAGTTTGTTTATTCAGAGAGAGAGTGCAAAAAACATGAACGAGAAGGCTAATGTTTCGAAAGAACTTAATGCAAAGCACAGAAAGGTCTTTTGCTTCTTCTTCTATATTTTTTGTTTGTTGGGTTTGAAATCATAAGTTGTTTCTTTCATAAAGAAACTGTCTTTTGTTTGTTTTTAGATTTATTTTAGTAAAAGCTTATTGGGGTTTATTGGGTTTGCTTCTGTTTTAGTAGATATTGGGTGTGATGCTTAGTTACAACTTACAACTAAGGCATAGCTATAGCTAATCTGTTTTGTTTTGAACTTGTTGCCTGAAAATATGTTGTTGTTCCACAATTTGAAATGTTTTTTCTTCAAATTTCAAACTTGGAATCTATTATGAGTTCTCTGAATTTCTTATTATATTTGGATATAAGAATTGAATAGTTTTTTAATGATGTATATTAGGAACCGAGCCAATAAGGAAAGAAACTTGTTTAAAATTCATATGATACCTGTCAAAGGTGTTTGGTGGTGCCATGGCTGACTCAATTAATGGCTAGTTATAACTAGATAAGAGTTTCTGAGTTGGTTATTTTGCGCTATGGATTTTGTGCAACCACAGCTGAAGGGCCGTCTTCTTCTTGTCTTTTTTTGGCTGGATATCATATCATAGTAGCATGTTATTTGGAATGAGTTGTAGTATATCTTTCGAAGAAGTTATTGTTATATTCACATGCTTTATGCATATGCCTTTACCATAGAAGTCAACGATGGTTTTTACAAATTAAAAAAGTTAATAAACATAAGATTGCTAAATTTTGATAAATGAGGACAGTCTTCTGCAAAATGCAAGGCAAAGGTCAGTGATTGTTGCACCGACTTCTTTTTCTTAGCAGGCATTATGGCCTTACTAATAGCTTTCTTGTAATTTCTAGTCTATATGATATCATTAATTGATTGGATTATTAACTCTGATTTTGTTTTTTTCAGCTTGGTGATTTAAAATGAAACTCACCTTTGTGGTCTTTTTGATTGCAGATCCTGGAAAGCCTCTTTAAATTACCAGAGAATAGGGAGTGCGCTGACTGCAAAAGCAAGTAGGTATCCAAGGGCAACATTTATTGTGTATAAGAAATAATGTGGGTTTTCAAATTTTTGAGCTTTTTCTTGTCACACTGATGTCCCTATCAGGAACTGGCTTGTTAGTAGTATCTTATAATGTATGGGTTTGAGGATTTACAATTTGTGATGATGTCTCATTTTCTATACAGAGGTCCTCGATGGGCTAGCGTGAATCTAGGAATCTTCATATGCATGCAATGTTCAGGTATCCACAGGAGTCTAGGAGTACACATATCAAAGGTGGAGCATTTTGCAAGTCTAGAGTGAAGACCATCCAAAGATTCAAATTTTGCAACTATTAGTGCATTTATTTACAACATGCTTATTCAGCTTCTTTATGACCATGACACAGGTTAGATCTGCCACTTTAGATACATGGCTTCCAGAGCAGATTTCATTTATCCAATGTAAGCCTGATTTTTAATTCTCTGAATTGTTTTCCTTTTGATTTTGCCAAGTTGCATATGAGATCAGGTTTTTGTTTCTTGATGTCTGCAGCTATGGGGAATGAGAGATCAAATAACTATTGGGAAGCAGAGTTGCCTCCTAATTATGACAGAGTCGCAATCGAGAATTTCATTCGGGCAAAGTATGACTTTATAGAGTTACCAATCTCAAGTAGTAATATTGTTCTTGTCTTTGTCCATATCATTAGTTTTTCTACCTGATTTTGAACTTAAGGATGTGTATGTTATATCTTAGATACGAAGAAAAGAGATGGGTTCCTAGGGATGGAAAAGCTAAATCACCTTCAAGGGTGAGTGGAGAGAAGACTCGAAGTTATAAACCAGAACCAAGTAGTGATGGACATCGCCAAATGAATGGCACTAACCATGTTTTTGAGGAGAGGAAAATTGCACGTTCACCCATTACAAATCACAGTAGTCCTGCTTCCAGAAGTTCCACTCCATTGCCTGTTAAAGCGTCAACTCCAGTGCCTGTTAAAGCATTCACTCCAGTTCCTGTTAAAGCATCCCCTGCATTGCCTGTTAAAGCATCTCAACAGGTAGACATAATTTTGCTTCCTTTCACCAGCAATATGCGTTGCCCTTCTCCCTGCTGGAACCATTTTAGTTGTGTATATAAGTTATGCAAAAACCAACAAAGGAAAATCATTTCACACAAATGGAAAAATATTTCCAGTTTGCTTATCTTTTGCTATGCATGGCCCAACTGATAAAAGTGTCGTAGGATAATTAAAAATTGCTGCAAGTTGTTAAGTTGAGGTTGTTATGTTTTGATTATTTGAGAGATGAGAAGGTAGAAAGAGACATTTTGTGGACCTGTTGGAAAACAAATATTTCTACAAGTTCTTGAAATCTCTTGAAAACTTAAAAAAGATACTATATTTAGGAAGATGATTTTTATAGATTATCAGCTGATTGATAAGAGTTCTGAACACTTGATTCCATTGGGATTAATTGGGGAACCATTTGATTGTTAGAGGTCTGACCAATCAATCGCAGTAGAGAATTAGAGAGGAATGGCTTATCATGCTTATTCTTATGTTATGTGTCATCACGAGTGTCTAAAATGCACAAAAATATATGTTGATTTGGCTGCTGGCCCTGTGCACAAATAAACTAATGGACTGTGTGAACAGGCAGTACATGATACCAAACAACAAGAACCTATGCGGAAGTTAGAACCAGCAGTCCCAAAAGCTGAATTGGCAAAGAAGGAAGAAACTGCAACCGAAGTTGTAACACCACCAAAAGTTGATTATGCAACTGAACTTTTTAATTTGCTTTGCATGGATGATTCTAGAGGGAGTGATTCCACTAATCCCGCTCATGATAATGGATGGGCCGGTTTCCAAAGTGAGTTCTTGTTTCTAATAACTTTCATAGGAGGAACCATTGATACTGAGATATTTTTAAAATTTTTTCCTGGTTTGCCAGTTCCATAGTTGCTTACAATCACTTCGTAGCTTGGTTTTTATCACTGATGTTTTCCCTGACCTGCTTGCAGCTGCCGAAGCAAAATCAACACCAGAGAGAAATGGTTCGTCAAACTTTATTGAAAGCATGACACAGCCAAACTTAACTTCACCTCCTTTGGAGAAACCCCAAAAAGATGCGAATAATGATATCATGAACCTCTCCGGCAAGGTATAAATTAAGAAAAAAATGTCTGCATTGAATTTTTTAGAGTATGGTTAAATATGGGTAGTGTCTTGTGCAAGAAAAAAGATTCCGTTCACTGCTCATGTGACAAAAAGTTGTGAAGATCTTTTTGGTGTGTGTGCGTCCATCATGAAGCTATTATGGCAGAGGATTGTGAGTAACAGTTTTGTGTGAGTGAGTGTTCATCGCAAAGCTATCATGGGAAGAGGATTATAAGTAACTCCACTCTATTTTTTGGTCATCTATGGCATATATGCTAGCTTCCCAATTGGTTATTCTGACTAGAGAATTGGGGTGAAGGTGTCCTCTTAATTCCTTGTTGAGAGGTATTAATAGTGAAGTTTCAGTGTCCATAGTTTTCTATTATGTGAGAAAATAGACTATGGAAAATGGCATTATGGTATTTTCAATGTGCAACAGTCCGTTTGTATTTTCTTCTCTTTGCTTGCTCAAAAGAGATTCATGTTCATCTTACCATTTTATTTGTGGATTATGCAGTCCAGTATGGTTTCTCCATTTTCCGTCCATCAACAACAACTTGCAATGTTATCCCAGCAACAACAATTCCTCATGGCTACTGCAGCAAGGTCTGGCGGTGGATCCCAAACTATTCCTGCCAATGCACATAGACCCAGTTCCAATGGCATTCACTTGCCCGCTCAGGGTTGGGGAGGCTATGGCTATCAAGTTCCTGGGATGGTGATGCCAATCACTGATCCACAAAACTATATGCAGGTTGAGCTTTTAAATGTTTATCCCATGTTTTCTCGGTTTGAAAAAGCTCAATCTCTCATCTATTATTGTCTTCTTGCACCAGATGGGAAGCAGCCAACCGATGTATTCAGCAGGGAGTTCAATTAATTTTCCGCTATCAAGGTAGCACATTTATTTATTGCTGAATTCATTTTTAGTTCCTAAGTATAATTTTGATCTTTCTGGGTTAGGTTTTTAAGAACTTTATGATTCCAAATTCAAGTTGTTAAGTTACTTTAATTGGTGAAATCAGCTAGTTCACAGTTTGAGAACAGTGAGAGTGGTCAAAACCTGAAACAATATGATCATTTTACTACAGAATGAGAGTTATGCCCCACGATTAAAGTAGCATACCTCAAGTTCTTGGAAAAAAAAAAGAAAAATTCTACAAATTTCTGCCAATATATTGCAGTGGCAAAGAACTGGATTGGTTGCCCCACTTTCCATAGACAAGGGATTGGAGAAGGATCATTTCCCTATTTCCCTGACATGCAGTCTTGAGTAAATTTTGGGATTTGGTTTCGAACAATGCATTCCCTTGACTATCAAAGCATTAAAATGTGGCTGCAAATTTAGTTTTCATAGGTAGCCGGATATAACTGGAAAGTCTTGTCAAGCTATATTTGTAAGCATAGATATTGGTATTCTTTCATCTTTCACCCTAAAACAATTGCTTGTTGAATGGGTCTAATACTTGCATGCTTGGTTGCTTATAAGGTTCAGTTTGCTATGTATCCCTACATAATTCGATGATGCTCGTGAATTATATGCAGCATGTATAGGCCAGGGCCAGTAGCTCCTATGCGTGGCATGACAAACACCAAAGCAACTATGCCACCTCCAGCATCCCCTGTTGCTCCAACTCAGCCTGCAGGATATTACGATCTCTCATCATTAGCACAAGGGATGTATACAAAACAGTGACGGATTGCCTTGGCTTTTTTTTTTTCTTTTGCTTCTTTTCACAGAAAAGTAGTTAAATCATAGGAAATATCTCATTCATATTACTTAGCATGAACTCTCATCCAATTTCCTGTTGGGGGTTTTACAGCTCTGGTTTATATTGATTTGTACCATTATTGCCATCATTGGTTTAATAAAGTTGGTTTCATATTGAGCAGTTTGTCTTTATGATCTCCTGTCATTTCTTCCGTTAAGGTTCAAAAAATCCTTGAGTTGGTTACTTAACATGTGATTTCAAATCGTAACCTACGGCCTTGCTTGGCACTCAACTCTGCAGGAGCCTGAGATTTCGACTTCCCAGTTCAGTTTCTAATTAGCTATACCAGCAAATTATTTTAGCCCTTAAAATTAAGCTTTCCAAGCTAGTGTCTGAGCGTGTTCTAATATCTTCCTGCAGCTGATTGCTCCCATTTTGAAGTTACACTTCCAATCTGAAACTTTGTTTCCAAGAAAGACAACAATTCTTGTTTGGCAAGTCTCCAACTTTATCCGTATAGCTGTGGTCCATTTAATTTGATGGTCTCAGTCTCTTCACAAATTGTATTAATCCTTACATACAAATCTACCGACAATATCTCGTGCTTAGGCACATGGTGTGGAGCCGAAAGCAGCACTTTCTTAAAAAAATTTCTGAGAGCACCATTAAAGATTTTTTAGTAGGTGATGGACATGCATCTATTTACATTCGGTACCATTCATCACCCGTAGTGTTAATTGACAACACGTTGTCAATTAACAGTGTTGACAACAGCTTCAGTGACGTTCAAAATCAACAAGAGCGCGTGATTGATGTGTTTTAAATTCTTATGATGTGGGACCTGAATTTTTATTTTTTTCTCTGACAAAATGAATTGAAAATAAGATAGGCAAATTAGTCTTTATAATTAACATATCAGTCCCTGGTCTTTAAAATCTTACTAGTTTTTCTCCATACTTTCTTTGGTCTAACAAATTCATCTCCTATTAGATTACTTACTATGCAATGAAATTTATAAATAAATAAAAATTCAAGTATGTGATTTGAGAAAATTCAAATTGAAATTTGGTTAACCTAAATTATTGGAATATTTTACCCCATTCATTTTTTTAACCTAATGTACTAAAAAAAAATAATTAGCCAAAATTAGGTCTAAGAAAATTGCAAGTTCATTCATTTTAAATTTTTTTAATTAAAAATTTAATTCAAATGACCCTTTTTTTTCCTGTATTATCCAGATTACTCGAAATAAATTTTGGATAATAATTTGATTTATCCATTCTCTGATATTTTTAAAACTTTATTACCCTAATAATGGCAAAGTAATGATGGTGAACCAAGTCGCTAAGATGCTAGAGATTTTGAATAAGTGGGGAGAATGAAAATGATGGCAACTTTACAACGATAATTAGCAATAACGTGGTGGTAATTGAAGTGGTTGGGTGATGATATTGATATTCATCTAGAAAATGTTTTGTACAAAATTAATGCATCTTTCAAATGATTGGATGAAATGGAATAATTTAATTTTAATAGTAACCATTAATTGAAAGAGTAATGATAAAATAAAAGGGTAAAAGAACTTGCCGAATGTTGGAAAAAACTATTTAACCAAAACACTTACAATCAAATGTGTTGAACTGTCCATTTTATTCTTATTTTATGGTAATGTTTATGCCTCGATTAAATTATAATTTATAAATTATAAAAAAATAGTTTGGTTTGATAGAATTTTAGTGGTTACTTCCCTATGTTATTCAATCTAGTACCAGATAACATGAAAATATACATGGATTACTTTCGTTGTTTCATTTCAAAAATAAAATTGTTTTCTTTTTTTTTTTTTAGAAAAATATTTTTATTGAATCACGAATCTCATAGGATAAAGCATTAGCATAAGTATGGATTATGCTCAATATACATTAATATGTGTATTGCTAATTGCATAAAGATAAAGGCTCAATCAATGTTTGTAAATTTATCAATGAGTTAATTAAATAAACGATCGATATATGAATTGGTTGTTTATTTTTATTTAAATGTATGTATTATTATTGCTATTAGTGTTATTGTTATTATTATTGTTGTTGTTGTTGAAGAGTAAGTGCGGTCAAAATTTTATCAACTAAGTACCTATGTTAGGTTTCATTAGAAAATTGATGATTTAAATGTAATTAATTATTATATCTAGCCATCAGGACGAGTTGGACAAATTTGGCTTGAGTTGACTTGGATTTAGATCAGTATGTGCTTGACCAAGACCCAGATCCATAAGTTTGAGTGGGTTTGAGTTGAAGTGTAGGAGTTATTTTTCTCTTCCAAAAGACAAAAAGCTAATTATTATAAATTAACATCTATACATTATCTATATCACATGGTTTTCCTCTTTTAGAGACACACAGTTTTATAATTGTTTCTTTATTTCTTTTAAACAAATTATTCCATAGTTATTAATTATTTAAACTATAAAAAAATTAAAAACATAAAAAACTCTTTTTATGTGCCTGATAGTAAGGTTTTTTTTTTTTTTTTTTGATATATAAATCTTTAAGGTATTTGATTAGATAATAAATAGTCTGAATGGTGTATATATATATATATATATAAATCCAAATATGAATTGCAAAAACTAATCTTTTTTTTCGTAAATGAACTAGTTTAGTGTGGATGACTTAACTTAGATCTTATCACGTATGAGTTTAATCATAGTGTAGGAAAACTAATTTGAAAATAGTTAACTAAATTATTAATTAGTCTCTCTAATTTTACAAAATTAATTGATTAGTCTCTTTACCAGTGCTGATCATACTTAATTTGATATTAACTTATTTCATATTTTTTTTCATAATATCTATTTATTTTTACCTTTTCTATTTCTTAAAAAAAAAATCGAAAAAGGATATGAAATGGAAAAAATAGACTAATTAGTTAGTTTTTGCATCTAGAGGGACTATTTAATTCATTTAAAAAAATTATAGCGATTAAATTATAGTGTACTCAATATAGTTTGATCATTGATATAGAAATAGAAATAATCATGGAAAAAAAGAATATTGGGTTTCTGTTTTGCCAAAAAAGAAAAGATAAGAAAAATCATAAACCAGTTCTATTAAGAGTAAATTTTTATTCAGTCCCTAATTCATTTAATTTATTATAATTTAGTCCTTCATGTTTGAAAACATATATTTTGACGCTTGACTCTTGTTGACTATTGACTTATCAAATATACATTGACTTTTCTTTTCAAATATACTTTTTAAAAAATTTAAATTATCATTAAAAAACCAATAAAAAAGGTTTAGTGAAAAATCAAGATATTTAAAAATGATAGTCAACGATAGTCAAACTAAATTATAATTTTAAAAAAATAAAGGATTGATTTATAAATAAGTTCAAAATATAAGGAGTAAAAAGGATAATGTACTCTCCTATTAGCTAGCGAGCCTTTAGAAAAGGTCGAGGGGACCCACACGTCATCTATGCTTCATAGACTTAACTGAAAACTCCCGTTACTTTCAATCAAACGCGTTCCTTACATGGAAATCCAAAAAGTCTTCTCCATCTGTTGTCAATACTGTTTATTGACTACAATCGTCAAATCATTATTTTCCTTTAAACATTGCTCATAAATTAAAAAAAATAAAAACAAAAATCACGAGCATTCGTGATGTCTCATTGTCATGTCTACCATAATTCTTAATTCTATGTGGACAAGAAATACTCGACATGATGGAGTAAATAACACTACGCAAGTAACGAAATATCATTGGATCAGTTTTTGCAGTGATTCAAATTACATTTATATTTATTTGAATTAAATCAATATTAAATTATGTCTAAATTTTTATCGATTATTAAACTATCTCTTAAATCAAATAAGTTAAAATCTGATACCACTAAACAATAATTATAATTAGTTATTCATAGGTGATAAAAATTAAATTTTAATATTGATCAAACCAAACTAATTTTCTTATCAATATGTTTCGATTTCGATGATAACACTAAAAATATTTTATCTTGAAAAAAAAAACAAAAAGCTGATAACATGTGATTATAAATTTGAGTCATGCTAGGAACTAGTCCTGCACACAACCTAATCCATCACCATTTTTCAATTTTGCTGCACAAAGTTGAATTATTATGGATGTTAACTTGTTAGGTAAGTTGTTATGATTAAGAAAGAATTCTTTTGCATGCTCACAGACAAAAAGAACACAAGATTTCAGCTGTAGTAGTTAGAAATCTTAGAATTTTTTAAACTTCTCATAGCTAATCAAATCTTCAACTAATCTTTCACTTAATTAGGTAACCTAATAAATCAAGTTAAAAAAACCTAGGATTTGACCCAAAATAATATGTACTCTACAACTGCACTTGGAGGAGGATATCACTAATCCCTTTATAAAAACTTTATATTTTATTAAAAAATATATAAAAACTTTATCTTTATAGAGAAAGAAGAAAAAAAAGAAGGTAAAAGCAAGAATTTTCCATGGAGGAATATCCTGACCACAAGTGGTAAGATCCTCCCCCATGAACTTGGGTTAACATATGGCATCCAGTAGAAAAATGGGCGGTGCTTAGATGCAGCTTTTGGACTTAACCTTGAAAAGGCACCAAACCGTTTCCTTATCCTTCTTTCTCTAGGTATAACGTCAATACGTCATGGTATTAATCGTTTTCTACCAATTAACTATACTTTTGTTTTCTTAAATGGATCATCATCGTACGTACCAATTAGTCCACAATTCATGGAGATTAATACCCAATTACAAAAAGGTTTTAGCTGAGATAAGATAATGCATCAAAGATAAATTAATTTTGCTTTAACTAGACCATTTAGACCCATCATTTTGTTAATTTGACCACCCACCACCGTCCAAAAGGGGTTTTCAGTTATGTTTGAAAGTCGATAGAATTACGTATATTTATTTTTTGGATGTTTCTAGGATGTTTCATGGCTCTAATAAAAACAGACAAC